TCAACGAATTAACCCAAAAAGGCTTACTTTTAACTTCAATAACGCATTGCTTTTCTAAAAGTTCAGAAATAGCTGGAAAAAAAAACGAATTTATGATGTTTAACAGAAGAAAGATTGTTTCTTAAATAAATAGAACTAGGCAATGTCTCAAACGGAATCTTAAATCCGTTTCTTATAACGTCTTCTATAAATGTATTTACTTTGAGATTTTTTACCCAAAAATCAATGTGTCTATTGATACTGTCCTTAACTGAAATTATATCATTCTTTTTCTCGAATTTTTTGGAAACATATGAATTGAAATACTTAACTCTACTTTCCGTTACTGGCGTCTGGTTTTTCTGTTGTGATTGAGGGTTGCAGCTTACTGGCCATGAATCTCTGGGTGTACGGACAGTCTCTGGCAAAATGTCCGGGCAGATTGCAGGAGAAGCAATGGCCTGTAAATCCCTGATTCCTTTGCACATTTTCCGGGAAATTTGTTTGGAAATAACTTTCATATCTTGGCGAATACCCACGAAAGGGCACCCGTTGTTGAAAAAGTGGCCTTGGCTGGTGTCGAGCACGTGGTGATGGTAAAGTCTGACTACTTCCATATGGACTATATCTGCGTGACCTATTTGCCCTTGCAATAGCGCCTCGTAGCTTAGAAGCATCGTCGTCATTATCAGCAAGCGGGTCAGCGTCATATTCCCTGATTGTATCCCAGCCATGTTTGTCGGCAATTTTAACAGCTTATTTCGTCTACGAATCTCCAAGGCTTCGTTATGAGCAATATCTTTGATGGCAGAAACGTTTTTCAAATCACACAAAGCCTCTATTCTATTCAAATTGTTAAGGCGTTCAAAATTGAAATTAAATTGTCTTTTACAAGAATCTGTTTTGAATTCAAAAGTACCTGCCTTAGCCGGTTTAATGACCGCCGAAATTCCAAAACCTTAATTCTAACTCGTCTAAAATTAAGCCTCTCTGTTTATACAAAGCCTGTTCTATTTGAGACGAAATGTCGTTTCTCACCGGAGTTATTTTCATCGCTTATGGTGTCCCCTCTGGGAAGTGAATCCTCTTCCTCGTTCATCGAGTTAATTGCAATACAAATTTGGTGAACCTTGCGTACTGTGTAGTAAACCTCGAATGATTTAAACCGCGAAAAAGCTCATGAAGATCTCGTGCCCCCTGCATTATTCTACCCAAATATAAACCAAACACCAAAAAGATTAAAAGTACCAAAAAAGAAAAGAGTATTCTATTTCTATTTGAAATATATTCGACTGAAACCACTGATATAGAGGACCATTGATTCCAATTGATAAATTTTTTTTCATAAGACCCTTGACTCGGTCAAACGCCTTTGAGATGTCACAGACGACCATTCTTATTTCTTTGCCTTCATCAAGGGCTTTACAAATGGCATTGTAGATATATAATGGTTGATTGGTTGTTGAGTCACCTTTTATAAAACCAGATTGATAGAGAGAGTATATTATTTTGAATTATAAAGTTGTAGACATATTTATGAACACATCGTTCCTTTAGTTATCTAATTCAGCTAAGAAGAGAAGAAGAGAGATAGGTCTATAGTAAGCAGGATTAGAAGGGTCAGACTTTTTGAAACAGGTGTGACGTGTGCTTTTTTCCATTCATCCGGAAAGTAAGACATAGACAAGAGGTTATTGAAGAAAACAGAGAGTGGGTTAGCAAGTGCACTTGACGTTTCTTTTAAAAGCCAGGGACTGACAAAATCTGGTCCAGATGCTTTAGTGGGATTGATATTTACGATTGAGTCTAACACGTCTTGTGGTGATATAGTGATATTATTAACGAATGCAGATGGCGTAGTATTGAATGATGATGGTTCTTTTTTACTGTCTTGTCAAGAAGTTTGTGGGCTGAAGAAATAATTAAGAAGATTGGCCTTGCCTTCGTCTGTGTCCGCTTGGGACGATCGTGTGTAGGGTGTTCGTATAAGGTTATCGGTTTTAGAGAGTTTAAGGATTTTTTTTGATATCTTAAACCAGTTTTTTTCAACCTTTTGTTTTCATTTTCTGTTGGTGGTCTTCCTTGGCCTTTCTTATCTCTTTCGTTACTTCATTTCGTTTTGTTTCTTAATTTTGACCAGTGATAGTTTGTATTTTTTATTTTGCAATTTTGTGGAGACGAGCTCGAATACAAATAAGTTTACATCACACGGACGGATAGTTACATCCTTGTTTTCGTTTCTTTTTTGGCATTGAAGATTGTATCTGTTATTTGTTTGGTAAGAAGATCGGGGTCATTACAAGATAATACGTGTTCCCAGTTAGTTTCGTTTCTTAAGATATTTCTGAAATGATCAAAGTCGTCTTGATCATAGTTCCAGATATGTCTTTTAAAAGATGAGTGTATTTTTTGTGTGTGTTTTAGAACGATTACTCTACGACAGTGATATCTAACAAAATCAGGAATAAAGGGGTCAGCAACAAAGCTTGTAAAAACATGGGTTATAAACTTTACTAAGAAAAGATCAATGATGGAGCATGATGTCTCTGTAAAGTGTGTAGGATCTTATATAGTTTGATGCATAAAGTTAGTTCAACTGGTCCCAGATGCGGATGAATGTTGCCCGAAAGAAGTAAAGCAATAAAAGGTATGCAAGATTTACGTGTTGACACTCTGTAAAGTGAATTGCGAAAATACTTTATTATCCGAGTTTTGTATGAGTTTATAAGAATAAATATAATGTTTGAGGAAGTAAATAATCAGAAGTGCTAAGTGATATGTCACCTCGTGCCACGGCGCGCATACATTGTTAAATATTATGTGATAAAGTCAAGTAATTTAGTATAAATGAATGCGACGCTGCGACGTGCCGCTGCGAATCAACGCTCCGACAAGACGATTGACAACATCATAATAAATGGCTGACGAAGACCAATGACTCCATTCACTGCAGCAAGGAGAACCATACTCAAAGGCGAGAATAGGTAAGAAGAAAAAAGACAAGAAAAAACGAGACAAAGGCAAAAGAAAAAAGGGGAAAAAAAGATAACGAGAAAAACAAAAAAAAAACAACAACAAATAAATACAATTAAAAATATAATATATTTTACTATAATGATGCGTCCCTGATGGACAATTTTTGTCAATTTGTTTATGGTATCAGACCTTTATCGATTTGAATATTCTTCCTTATATATCTGTCTAACAATATATAAGTTGTTACAATAAAAGGAGAAGATCTACAATCATATTTGACAGAATAACATGCATTTTTCGGTGAATGGATAGTTCTCTTATGAACTCCCTTTTCTGATCGCGTTGATAGAGTCCATGCTGCAGATATGAATCTGTTCACCATACTCAGATTTTCCATCTGCAGCCTTGCAGCCAGATATCCACGTTTTGTCGAGAATCTTGTCACGCACTAATTTCCTGGCCTCGAATGAAAGTTTTCCCGATACGGAGTAAGGTTTTCTTGGACGAAAATTCCGTCGCCGAGATTCTTCGAGCGTCATAGATACGTTGACGTGCAGATGAGTTATTGAATTTCACGATCACCTTCCGATTAACGAGTAGACCTTCCTTAAATTTACCCTTGCTATGGAACTTGTCTATCTCAGAACGGTCAAGGTCAATGCCTTTCGTCCTCATGTGGTCAATAATTTTCTGAGTCACGTCTTCTCTCGGGTCGTTGGTGTCACCAGGAATGCCAGAGACGTTGAGGCACATTTTACGTGTGTATTGCTCACACTCATCAGTATATAAAAAGTTGCTAAGAATTATTTCTTTCAGTTCGTGATTTTCTTTCTTGAGATTCCATTTTCTTCACACAGAGCTTTTGTTGCGATATGTACTGCTTCTTTGACCTCTTTAATTATTTCTTTTTAAAGTTCAGCAGTAATATCTTTTACGAGGTCTTTTTAAACTCTTTTCCTAAAAGAGTAACAAGTTCTTTGAAATCGTCTTTTGATAATGTGGAGACCATTATTTAATGGTGTGTGGGGGTACGTAAACAGAACTTTTTTCTCAATATTCTACTTCGCTTTCTTCAGTTATAAAACTACCTTCACAAGGAGAGATGAATAAATAAGGTTTTTGCTTCTTATAAGCTTCACAAGGGGATGGTTTATTTCGCTCACGTTTCTGCTTTGGATGGTTGTTTATCTTGAAAATCTTGAAACTTCAAAGGATGATAGATCTCATGTAGAAAACGTGCAGTGCACAAAACCGGTACTCTGCACTTCTTACTTTTTGAGTTATCTCCCTTTGTTAATTTTCATACTTTATTTTGTCCGGGCCATTTCTCATAAACTTTAAAAGCTATGGACTTGAACCTTCATAGGATGATAGATTTCATTGAGATTAACTGCAGTGTACAAGAACTGGTACTCTGCATTTCTGATTGTTTGAGTTACTGCCCTTTGTTAATTTTCATACTTTATTTTTGTCCAGGCCATTTCTGCTAAACTATAAAAGCGTTGGACATGAAACTTCATAGGATGATAGATCTCATTGAGATTAACTGCAGTGTACAAGAACTGGTACTCTGCATTTTTTAAATTTTTTTTAGTTATCGCCCTTTAGCGGTGTTAATAAATAGGAAAATACCAAAATGACACCTATACTGTTCACAAAGTGACACATCCGACTCGCGGAGTTCTAGTTGAATTTCCGGACTGCGCATTTGATTGCTTGTTCGCAGAGAAAGCATTCTACAGATGGCATGGTTATTAGTATGCTTGCACTTTTGCACTTTTTCTGAAAGATCAGACTATACTTACCAGGTTGATAATTTCCTGGTTATCTAAGGCTTTTATATTCCCCCTCCCCCTTAACGCTTGCGTTTGGACACTTCACCGGGAGGTACTTAGCGTTAAAAAAATCAATCAAATCTATTGATCAAGAAGATTGTTTCAGTTTGCAAGACCCTCTTCACAGCAATATAAAGCTCAAAGGCTTAACGCAAGGATGCTCGCGTAAAATGGACTCTTGTTGGACCGGCGATGAATAAGTTCAATATATAAAGTTTCAGAAATTTACTTTTATAAAGCCAATATTCTAGAACGAGCCGTTAATAGACAGTTAGTCTGATTTCTTTGCAAATTCGATTTTCTACAAGTTTAGAGGGTCTGTCTTGCACATTATTAAGCCCAAACCCAATCAATATGTCCGTGAAATTTCCGCGTGGCATGGTCGTTTTCTTGACCATCGATTTGTTCTTTGTGTATTTCTTTTTTGTAGCGTAGGGCATTTGTTCCAGTTGCCACCAAGTCGACTTCAGACCTATCTCCACCATCTGCCGACCTTATTTTTGCCAATTTTTGTGTCCTCACTGTAGTACCTATGGTATTTATTGCTGATGTTATTAAAGTTGATCTACTGACATGTAACTTGATATCATTTGTTGGTAACTAACGGGTGGTCTTTTATTTACAATTCACAAAACGTGCCAACAATTAATGTTTAAATTATAAACACAAATATCAATTCAAGATACCTTTTCAAGTGAAATAATATCAATGAATGAAAGTTTAATCAAAATTTATTAAACATTTCTAAGAGACACTGACAACACATTTCCGTTTCTTAACTATGATAAGGACAGAGACAAACTGATTTTTGTGGTACGAACGCTGGTGCCACTTTGTGTATGCAATAAGTTTAAGTTTAAATCGATATATTGGTCATCATTTATATTATGAAATTAATCAATTATAATTTTAGTGCCATAGAATATTACAAATATCAAAACCAAAGCAGTTTATTCGTTCCCCTCTAAGTTTGATACGATCCCGCATTCTGTGGGTTCCGGATCACTGGTCGCGATACTGTCTATACTAGAAAAAAAACCCGGATGAAGGAATTCCGTGGGAGAAAAACTGAAGGTGTTTTCCGTTGGCGGAAAAGCAAACTGTTGGTTTTCAGAGCAAGAATGTTAAAATATAAACATTTTGAAGTGTCACTTCTATTTCTTTAAACTATATAATGTTTTTGAGGAGGGATTTTGAAACATTCGTATTTCTGTTATCTTCTGGAGGCCTGCTGCTTTAAAACTTGTCAACCTAATTGCAAAGTATATGCATTGCTTTTGACTCTGTTGTATAAGATAGCAAACTCCGGGAAACATAAACACGTTTCATAAACTACGAACTCCCGGAATAGCAATCCTTCAAAAATCACAGAATCAAATTTAATAGACCTTCTACACTTGCAATGTGGGTTTGGTTTAAAACATGTTTTACACGGCGCTGAGGTAGCTGTAGAAGTGATTGTAGGATTTTTCACGTGACGCTTTTGTATCACACTATCGCCTAGCAACACCCTGCACAGTATCATACAACACAATGGATTGGTGGCGTCATCGATGACGTCATTTTCTTTTCCTAAAAGAAACAAATCATTAAAGAGAGAAAGGGAGACTTATGATTATTAATATTTGGAATAGTTTGTTTCTAAATACGGTTAATATATCACGTAGCTAGATTACCATAAATACCTTTTAAACAATTTACCTTAAAACATTTTGTTTAAATGTACTATTGTGAAAGATCACAAAAGTTTAAGCTTACAAAGAACATCTGTCATCTCTGTCATTAAAGTTGTAACATGTTTATGAACTTAACTTTTCATAGCAGGTACCATATTTTAAATAATAATAGTCTAGTGTTGAAGAAAAGATAAATGGAATGGAACATCCGTGGCCTGGTGGTTAAGGTAGTAAATTTAAATCATTAGCCCCTCACCGCTGTATGTTCAAATCCCGACAAGAACTTTGGATTCATTAATGTGAGAAAGCTATCCAGCTAGCTTATGGAACATCGGTGGTTCTACTCAGGTGTCCTACCGTGTCTGCAATATCGCACGGAGGCCACCTGAGGTATTCCTCCACCAGTAAAGTTGGAAAGCCATCATATGACCTCTACTGTGATGGAGTGACGTAAAGACGTAAAACCAATAAATAAATAATAATTTAAAATAAATAAACACCTGTATATTGGTCGGCTTTAACTGGATCTTCCGTGAAATAAATTCCTTTCCCTAACATTGAATGCTTGTATTTTTCCATGAAGAAACCATACTTCTGGATTGATGCAATATTCGACACTGGCGTTCCATGGAATAAGTAATGTTCATTTATATCATTGTTTAAGTTCCTTACTAAGAACGGGACACTTTTTAAAAGTTTAGCTGTTTGAATTGGACCAATCTCGGCTGAATATTTCTCAGGTGGAATAAGTTTACCTCCAATGGTTGAAGCAAATTTTTGTATCATTCTTTTACGTTGTGAGTATAAATGAAACACCTCTTTGTTACCAATTAACTTGATGTCAACGATTTTAATTGATGAGTGATATAGACCTTTGGCATCACGTCCGATACCAACTTTTGCAGGTTTCCAGAGCTGTTCAATCATTTTCTTAATTTCATTGGCAACACTAAGATCTTCTAATGGGCGATAGATAGTTTCTGTACTCTTGGATTTCATGATTCTTTGAGCATTAGTTTTGTGTAATACAGTGTCTGAGTTATGACTAGAACGTATTGTTTTTAATCGTATCTTCGTATATTTCATGTAAAGCAATCCCTCTTCCCTCGTATGCATATCTGTAAGAACATAATATTGGATTATTCTCTATTATTTGTGGACGATTAAATTACATCACAATGAATGTTCATTGGTTCTGTTAAAGTTGATTTTTTTTTCAAAAATATTTTTAATATGCATGTACATTTTTAATTTAGTAATTTTTAAAGTTAAGTACTTTTTTTACTTACGTTTCTTGATATACACTATAATAAGAGTCACAAATATTATAGGACTAATGGATGCATTGGCAATACCAATTTTAACAACATATGTCAAATTATTCCAGGAGAACCCAACGTCTTGTCCTACCATCAACACATATATGACGTATCCCATAACGTGGACCCCACCTGAAATGCAATAAATACAATTAATGGACCATTCAATGATAATTACGGTTCATACAGAACAGTGCGATGGGACAATCCTGCCGTTTCTCCCAAAATTCCGGGCCAATTCGGTGGTTTTGTTATTTGCGCCAAAGTTAAGCGAAAATGTCTAACTCGTAGTGCAGGGAGCAATAAGTGCGGGTTTTTCTGGTCTGAATGTTAATGCAGGGCGGTAATTTTACTGGTGAGTTGATAGTTTCAAGGTTATTGTGCCTGGAATTCTCTGAGTATAAAGATATTTATTTTTATTGATTACATTTGTAGTACATAATTATATTATACATGTTTATTGTACATTTGTATACAGTACTAATATAGAATATCTATTTACTGAATGTATTATTTAATTTCTGTTTTAAATTCAACATTTCGTAATATTAACAGTCCTAACGTTTTCTTAACAAACTAAACAAAACCTATTATTTTAAGGCATTTTTCGCATTTGAATTTGTAAAAAAAACAAAACTCCAGATTAAGTTGATGTACAAATTCACAATGCAAGTTATATTAATAAAAAAAGGATGATTAAAACATGTACGTTTTTAACTAGGACAGATTGAGTGAAATAACGGCTATCAAATAACACCGTTTTTCCCCTCCATTTTTCATTTACCACAAAGAATCTCGTAAAATATAAAATATAACTGACATAATAGCAATGATATTATATCTAGATCAATATTATGCTAATTTCAAGTTATAGTCGGGTAAAAACATGTTGCTCCGTGTTATAGCACGCGCCCTAGTTTCGCTAATGACATTGCAAAATAAAGGGGAAAAGTAGTCCCGGTTTTTAACGGCATATGTTACAGAATCATTTGTCATTGTTAGTACATACTACATGTATATGACTAACAGTCGACTTCAGAATGGGAAGGTGTAGTTTTAAATTCTCTACTTCAATGAAACAAGGATTGATATACCCTTTTATGATTACCAGATTTCTCCACATAAGTAAAAGACGAAAAGTCGCCCTGTTGTTGTTTGTTACCGCTTAGACATTAAATGAAGCAAATATTTTTAATCAAAATTGCATAAAACATGCAAAATATCCATTTTTTGTAAATATAGATCATTTTTTAAAGTTACATCTACCTTTCTAAAGTTTTTTTCTAAAATGTATACACTCATGCAAAGGGTTTTAGCATAATCTATCTTCTTACACAAAGGTGTTTTTAACCGAGCAAACTACTATTGAACAAAAGTACAGCAGCCGACAACAAAAGCGTGTATACATTTAACAAAATATAAATTTTGTATTAAGTCATATCAGATGTTGAAGGCAAGCGTTAAAGTATATGGTATTGTGTTACGTTAAAAGTTTACTTACATTTGAAAATAAACGCTGTAACTGCAACCCTATCCAGTGCTCGTTCCCTCAAATTACACAGCCTCTTTGTTGAGAAAAGAGGCAAGATGGTTACAGGTGTATAAATGAACAATGTGAGAAGTAAATGCCAGAACAGGGCAACATAAACGAACGCCATGACCGACGGATAATCTGCAAGCAAACGGACATATAGTTTCGGCGATCAATTATATATAATGTTGTTGTTTTTTTCTCTTCAAACTCGTTATTCGCCTAAATTAAAAGTAATATTTTATAACCAAACAGAAAATGTCGCATCAAAGTTTATATTTTCAAAATAATATATGTTTAATAAAACTTTATATTTTCTATGTGCACAGCAGCTAAGATTTAGCTACATATATATTCATAGCGTTCTGTAAATATATTGTCATTTTTGAAGGACGTTGTTTATATATGAACTGTATAAATATTAATGCTAATCAAAATATGTACATTTGTATAGCATTTAAATCATAAGAAAACCTATACAAATTCGGCATTCTTGCTTTGGTAATGACAATCATCTTTAGCGCAATTTCTGCATAGAAAAAAATTATCTTAGTAACAAATGCAGTTACAAGAGTAATTTAAACTTAAATAGGAAGTTAGAATTTTGAATAAAAATAGAAAAAAAACTTACCTGTATACGAAACTAAACAAGTTCCATTATTAATTTTAATATTACACGACAATATTCGTATTTCCATGATATATCCAGTTATTTCCCTGCGTATATGTAATTTTCCATATTCGTCATATAGTTCGTCAGAGATGGAAAACATTCCTATTTCCGCCTCGTATGGTCTACTGGAAGGGACACCGTCCTTATAATGGAATCCGCCATATATATCAAATAATAATAGAGACAATAACGTGTAACAAAATATAAACAAAAAATAACATATACATAAACGTCTCTTCTCGTTTGATACTGACATTCTAAATGTGGCGGTTTATTTGTCGTAAATTTCTTCCTGCTATTTTTAGATATTTTAATCGAGCACTATCTAATTTGCATGATTTATAGCATCCTTTTTTGTAACTATATATTTATATGTTAGATCTAATTATAACGCTACAGGTTCAAAAATAGGACAAATATATCTCGCACACACTGACAAGTTAATTTATTTTAAAGAAAGTCACCTACTATGCGTATTAATACAGCATTAATATAATGATATTCACAAAACTGTAATGATATACATTCGGATGTCGGAAGTAATAACACGCCGTGTAAACATACGCCATAAAAATAGTCCTGCATTTGCTTTTATTCATACGCTGACACAAAGGAACATTATTAATTTTTTATAACGGCTGTGCTATTTTTCAAAATGACAGGCTACCCTATGCTTCTGTATGGTTTTAATAATAGATATTAACAGATAAGAGAAATACTGTTTAAAATGCCCCATCTATTAACATAATTAATTGAGATGCATTTTGCGGAAAAATATTATATTTCGTTTGAAATTATGATTAACGACGATGACGATATTCAACAGCATAAATAAGTCATACAAAATAAGAATTTTAATCTCATGGCAGTTATTTTTTTCTCGTTTTTTTTTTTTTTTTTTTTCAAAGAACAGAACAAAACAGAAATTTATAACGACGTGTCCAAAGTAGATAATCTACAATACATTCATTATACATGTAGTCAAATCTATTGTACATGGATATCACATTTTACGTATACACTAATTTTATGACAACAAACAAACAAACAAACATGATATAGGGTGCAAATGATTATCATTTTGTATTCTATCTATAAAGTATAATGGACTCTCCCTTCTTTGTATTTGGAATTGTTAATGATCATATGAGAGGGAGAGGTCATTACCAAAATGATATTTTCAAATATAAGAAAATTGCTTATGATTTGTCTGCCTTTCAATCGAGAAATTGTTGGCTCGAGCCCGACTAGGACCACGACCATGTTTCCTTACATGGCACCAGTACTGGTTTGTTCGAGGAAATGAACCTGAAAATGCTTCGAATAAGTTCTAAGCTTCAATTACAATCTTTAAAATATACATGTTAAGTTTGTACAAATTTATTTAGTTCGACTGAGTTGGAAGCTATAAGCTTTTTGAAACACTCGAATCCGTGCCTGGAACTAGCCAGTTGTTAGCAATGAGTGTAAGGACCTTGCTCAAGGAAACAACGGTTTGCCCCCAAACCCACGCGGTAAGCTATCCTTACATTACTATTTCAACCGTTAAACATTCGGCCACGCTATTTAGCAAACAATAAATATGATTAATCTTGTCAGATTTTCGATATTGATGGCAAAGAGGAAGTTATCGCGGATAGAAGGCTTAGTAATAATACATTTTCTAACATGGATTGCCTTAACTTGAGTCAGTTTGTATGTACTTCTTCTGCTCCTATTATGTCACGTGACCAGAATAGTAGTATACAAGTGTATGCTGTGTATGTTCAACTGACTAAGATTTCTTCGTAGATTTTTGTGAGGGTATTTAATCAACAGTAAATCATTAGTAACGAATACATACATTTAAGTGTAAGGAAATTTTTAATATACAAGTATACAATTACAAATTAGCATAAAGGATGAGAGTATAAATTGGAGCTTTTGATTTATGCACGTAATTATAAAACGAATGAGTTCATAATGATACATTTAATAACATTCATGAAAGATCCTGTATGTTGTGATTAAGGTTGTTACCACACTTAAGTGAAATTTTATATATGTACATAATTATGCTTCTAAAACAATTTCCAAACGTCGAAGAATATTTTAAATATGTACTGCGAATATTTGGCCACATTATATGTAATCAATAAAATATATGCACTCATTTCTTATTGAACTTATTGAAAAAATTTGACTTAGACTTTATAGACAATAAATTTCTAATAATCTCCCTTTATTAACATGAAATGTAAAGTCGGTAATATCTTTACAAATAATGCTTTTTGGAACTTACAATATTGATAAATCTTCATTTGAGCATTATATCTATGATATAAAACTATAAAAAATGAGTTACAGGATCTTTAAACAACCTTTTTCATTACATTAATTTTTTTAATTGGTAAGCGGTCGCTGGTACGATCCTTGGGCGGGGCAAAATTTCTCTGTGACAAATTGTTCTCGGACCTTGAGACTTGAATCTAATGGCCATTCCCACTTACCGCTGATTCAGAAAATCTTATATTGTAGATCTTTTACTTTATCTGTTATGCAGAACTATTTTGATGAAAATATGTCACAATTTTTGCTAGCATATCAGGAAACTTACAAGAACTACATTAGAAAATATGTATTATTGGATCCTGGAACGCAATGTAAGTTTATTATTCAAACAGAAAAAATATATAACGAAAAAATGCAAAACACCCCCCCCCCCCCCAAAAAAAAAACCCTATTAGTTCTAACAAACGAATGTCACGTGATTGCCCACCCTGTATTCAGATCAGAGAAATATTATATCAGACTTCTACATTCACATATAATAAATATTTTATATCCGAAATTTGAGCGCAAGTAAATCTCAAATTAAATTTTAAGAAAAATATATTTTTAGATATTTTTTTAATATTCCCTCGTTATTTATTCATGACTTCATGTAACGACTATTTTTGTATACATGTCACAGGGTCATTTTGTGAATACTCTGTATTTCATACCCATACTCTATATCATTCCCCTATCGTCTCTTTTTCAATCATTCATAGCATTATTCATCTTTATACTAATAACTTCATTTTATCAGTAACACGTTGACGGGCCTCATTCAATTCATTTTCAACTTCGGTCACGCTAACTTTAACGCATGCGCTAATAAGAAAGGAGAATCTTACAGCGAGAGCTGTTGTGTTCTTCATTGAACCCTTGTTTCTATTTTATTGTGTGCAAGTTCCTCTTCGAGCGGACTTTCCTCCCGAGTGAGAACTCACGTATATCCGTGACATAAAACCTATTAATTATTTAAAAAAGTACGAGTATTAACAAACTTTTCCAAAATTCTGTGGACTAGAAAATGTAATTTTTTTAAAAATTATAACAACAAGTAATGTATGGCGGTAAAGTATTTATTCCATTGATAATAATAATACTTCCAACACTTTATCAAGCATTTATAAACCATAGATAATAAGAATGACATAGCTCTGATTAAATATAGCACCATAAGAATTAATATTTCTGAACTCAGTCTTAAAGTTAAAACTAATTCAGATCCTATTTCAAACTTCAGTGAAAAAGATTCTATTTCAACAAAAAACAATGTTTCGCTGAAGCATTTATTTAAAGGCCCATTATGCCCCAGAAATCCTTTTATTCACATATCTCGAAGCTTTTTTTGTCGTATTATAGTTTCCAAAAAGATAGTCATTGGTCATTTAGTTGCATTTTGCTTTTTAGAAATTTGTACAGTAATAGTGATTTCGTATTTTGTATGGAAGTCGAAATATTGCTCTGTTCACTTTTGCTAACTTTAAGACAAATAATTTCACATTCTGTGTTACATTGTTTTTGCTTATAAGTATCTGAAATGCTCTAAAATTATTTTTTAAACCTCATAATACGTATATTTGCCCTTCCTAATATAGGAAAAATATTCATTTCTGAGGCATACTGTGCCTTTAATTGATGATACACCTTTCAACTCTTTTATTTATAAGGCATGAATAAGTCATAAATAATATACAATCGCATAGCTCTGATTAAATAAAACACAATAAGTTTTCCCATATTTCTGAACTCAGATTCGAGTTTTGAACGTTCGAGTAGAGAAAAGAACGTCCAAAAAAAAAAAAAAAAAAAAAAAAAAAAAAAGGAGAAAATATCACAGACTCGGTTTGATTGAGCCTATTCATGGACGGTAGTAGAAAGTAAGAGCTACCGTCCACGACCCCGCTCCCCAGCACGGCTTCAGCAGAATATAACATTATATCATGGTAATGGTGAAATTTGGGCAGATGTGTCCATACGGTGGTTATCATGTAACCTTCAATGTAATGTTTCATATCGTGAGTGCAGGTCACTTTCGCTGTTAGTGATAATGAAATCATTTCTACGGTCATTCGCTTGGTATCTCTGCTCTGGCATAAAAAGAAATTATCAGTTCCTTGCGAAAATGAAGACAACTAGTACGGGTAGGTAAACTGCTTGACACTGTGCTCTAGTGAATTCAATGTGGCCTACTACCGTGATCCGGACACAGAACCTTGGGGGTAAGATCCTGCCCCCAACGTGATACGCCCTTGTAAACACTCTATCAAAACTATTTTAATATTAAAACACGAATGAAACTGGTTTTCAAACAAATTTTACATAATTATATGAAAAAAATACCGGATCCGGAGTGAAAACTTCCAACACGACCACATCGCAGCATACTGTTTGCATGCAAGTAATAAGAGATGTAAATTTTAGTTTAAAAAACCTACACATGTCACTTAAGCAATTAGAAATAAGAATTGCAACTTGATAATAAGACGAGATCAACTTGAACAATCAAGCGTCTGCTGTACAACCAATCAAGGCTAGGTTGTCGTTGTTTTTGTTGTTGTCGCATTCTCAAATAAAATTTAAGCGATATTCTACAGTACTCTTTTATACAACACTGCAAATTCTGGGAAGCAATACGATGTGTCATAAACGATGAATTCCCTAAAGATTACTCCGTCATAGATCACAGAATCAAATTTTGTCGAGTCTTTGCAGCAACAGTTTGGCTCTGGTGTTAAACACCCTTTACATGGTGCAGATAATGTTTTGGTGGGGATTTTGTTGTTGTGTTTTACAATGACAAAGTTTCCTAGCATCACTCGACATACTAATATACAACATTGTTCACTAGTACTCTCTCTTCTCCTACCTGAAATATAGGAAGTTATTATAAGAGTATCATGTATCCAATCAGATTAAAATCAGTTCTAAAATAACGCTACGCATAAGGATCTGACTACAACCAATAGGTTGTCACCTCGTAATCTTTGAAACAATCACCGACGAGCTTAGCGATGCGGTTTCTAATTTTCACCCCTGAGAAACCAATACTGAGTAGTAGGTAGTTTTCATGGCGTTGTCAATAAAGCCGGCAAGACAGGCAAAACAATCTTTCCCATTAAAATTTGAGTCTATTATTTCCAGTTTATTTGTTAAAACTTAATTAAAAATAAAATAACAAAAATAAAAGCTTTAGACAGCGATATTTTGATACTTCGTCTAATGCTTATCCGTAAAGGACGATTTGTTTGATGGCTAAAAATAGTTGTCTCCGGAAATCCGAATCACAATATAAGCGGCAATCAGATCTATATGCAAGAAATAAGTAAATTTGAAATTTAGTTATATTGATCATGTATCAGGTCTGGTATGTGTAAAACCAAAACCAAAAGTACCCCTCTACAACATGGCGCTCTTCCTACCCATACGGACTACCTTACAAGTCAATGTCTATTTTGTCCCATTAAAGAAGCCATTACAAATGCATACCATATCGGTAAGGGCATTTATTTACGGGCTGTCCATTCGCCTATGAAATACGTCGGTGCTCCTCCCCTACACCCACATTTATTTAACTAAATGATTAGGTGACGGAAACTTGTGCTGGTCAACCTGTTAAGGGCAGGGATTTTTGTCTATCTCGACAAAACATGTTAATTGTGTTTGGGAGGTTTATTTGGATTTTAAGTATTATTAATGCATATTTTGTTCCCTTAAATTACTATGTTTATATTGACACATTACATCAATGCAAATTTATTTTAAAATGTCATGTCAGTTAGGTTCAACTAAGTGGGAAAATGGAAAGGAATGGCATGTTTAATACGCTGTATGGAACAAAAAGGGAACTCGATTAGCTCGAACCACAACATTTTTGCGTGTGAACGTTACACTTTACCATTGACCTATTCTGCCTAGATATAGTACAAAGACACATAAATATTTCCGGTACAATATAACGATCTATGTACATGTATTTCCCCTTGTTGTTATGACGATTTTAACATATTGGTAATAAAGCTAAATATACATGTACCATAACCAACAATCGGATATATTCTATGCAAAATAGGGAGGTAAAGATATCTGAAAATTATCTTTCTGACATCTTTTGTAAAACGAATCTCTCAAACACGATGTGATACTTTACCTGTGTACTGGTCGGCTTTAACAGGGTCCTCTGAAAAGTAAACCCCCTTTCCAAGTTGAGAATACCGATATTTTTCAAAATCAAGTCCTTCTCGTTCAATGGATTCAAGATGGTCGAAAGGAATCCCGTGAAATAAGTAAAATTCATTGACATCACTGTTTAGCCTTGATTGTAAACAAGAATTACTTTTCACAAAGGCTTCTGTTAGAACAGATTTTATTTTCGGAAAGTCACTGGGAGATGTCAGTTTACAGCCGCATTTACAAATCATTTTCTGGATCTCCATCTTTTTCTTTAAGTAAGCCCGATACGCGTTCTCGTTTCCGATTGGTTTAGTCTCGGTTATGTTAATTGCCGAATGACGTAATCCTTTTGCGTCACGTCCAAAACCGACCAATTCCGGTCTCCAAATTTGTTTAACCATTTGTTGTATTTTACTAGCACAAGTAGCAACGTTTTCACTTCCTTGTATTGATAGAGTTTGCATGGACAATGTTTCGTCTTGCATATCTATTTCATTGGCTATTCCGTCATCCGACCCGATGCTTTCTAACCGAGAAATGCCAAATTTTGCGTAAATAAAGCCGTTTGTCTTCACGATGTTTTTCCCTGAAAAAAATAGAAAAAAATACTTGATCGGTTTACTGTTGAAATGTTCTTAAAAGCACAGTGCGCATATGAGTTGAAATAATATTTTCTTCTTGAAGACAACAAAAGTGAAAAGATTATTTTTAGCAAAGGCGCACTTTTTGGGCTTGTCGTTTTTGTTTTATTTTTGTTTTTTTACATGACGGAACTGAAACTAATTTTTCGAGATTAATGTCTATTATACTACTTGTACGCAAAATTTCAGATAATTCCTTCGATCCGGTTTTTCCTTAATGATTATTAAAATTGTGAAAAAATGATCTATACTCAAATCGGACTAAGATTAACTCAGAAATACGATTTGCAATATATTTCTGGGTATATTTCTCAATAATATTTGGAAAATTGTTAGGTTTCAAGTGTCCCCTCCAATCTATGTAAGAATTTCAAATCTTTATAGAATTTTGGGCCATAGTGGAGTTCCTTTAAAAATATAATCATATTTCAATGTAAATGAAGTTGAACGTGCAATAAATTGTATTAAATTTGTAAAGTGTAAATAAATCGACCACATTGTAAATAAATTTATCTTTAAAGCGTATAAAGCTATATCTGATATAATATTAACAGTAAATAATGATGTTTTCACAACCCAATGGTCGTTGGTTGAAAGATTCGTAATTTAATGCATTATATATTAATGTTTTCTTGTACAATAACATAATAAAATGTTCCGGAACAAAATATTTCTGCTGCTTTTTAGTAGGTTTGACGATGATTTTAGCATGTCTGACTCGCTTTAAAAAACTATACTGACAAATAGTTCGTTTTCATTCCTGGTATTATGTAATCATTTTCACAATATATAAACAGAAAACTTTCAAACCACAGACACCAAATATATAGCTTTATTTACTTAGATACCTGGTCGAAACATGTTTATGGCATGACATGATCATATTACAGCTTTCAAGATTGCAAATAAATAAAACGTGTCTTGATATATTTATTTTTTGTCATATAAAACATTCAAGGTGTATTATTTACACAAATATCGTAGCAGTTGCTAATACCCGTCTTATATTTTATAGTTTGTTTTTGTTAGGTTTTTCAGTTAAACCGACATTGTCATAATCATATGAAAGCTTTCCTAACTTACTGGTCGAGAAAGATCTCAGGTGCCCCTTCGTGCAATATTTCAGCCACGAGCGGGCACCTGAGTAGAATCATGTAAGCTGACTGGATAACTTCCTCACATGAAAGAATCCAAAGTCCTTGGCAGGATTTGAACCCATAGGGTTAAAATAATAAGTTGATGTTGATATTTTATAGTTTGATTTTTGATAGTTAAAAGATGATGATCTATGAAACATCATTCAACTACTGGTTGAGAATGATGCAGTGTTGTGATATTTGACGAGCGGGCCATCATCATGATGATGATAATTCAATGATATAATATAATAATTATAAAACAACCTCGTTCGTGAGCTAGTAAAATGAACACAATTGAAACGAATGGCGTGACCAGAACATTGGCAAATCCTATGAAGAAAATCGGTGACAGGTCATGCCAGCTGAAGCCGTCAGCTTTTCCCGCAAGTTCTGCATATAGCACGTGAGCAATGACGAAAAGGATGTCTGAAATGAAAAGCATTGATTGGTTGATGTCCATTACACTACAAATCAAAATCTGAACGTTATATCACACAATAAAGTGCCTAGTATATCAACGTGTTCATGGTTTTTTATACTGACCTGGAGATCATACTCAACCAATTTGATGATGGTATGCCTGTTTATCAACCTGAAGTTATCTATCTAATGGTGATACGCCGTAAATCAACCTGATGATCTGGTTTATTAACCTGACAATGGAACCTTGTATACTAACCAGATGATGTTACCTGGTATATCAACCTGATGATGGTACCTGGTATATCAACCTGATGATGGTACCTGGTATATCAACCTGATGATGGTACCTGGTATATCAACCTGGTGATGTTACCTGGTATATCAACCTGATGATGGTACCTGGTATATCAACCTGATGATGGTACCTGGTATATCAACCTGGTGATGGTACCTGGTATATCAACCTGATGACGGTACCTGGTATATCAACCTGATGATGGTACCTGGTATATCAACCTGATGATGGTACCTGGTATATCAACCTGATGATGGTACCTGGTATATCAACCTGGTGATGGTACCTGATATATCAACCTGATGATGGTACCTGGTATATCAACCTGATGATGGTACCTGGTATATCAACCTGGTGATGTTACCTGGTATATCAACCTGATTGATGGTACCTGGTATATCAACCTGATGATGGTACCTGGTATATCAACCTGATGATGGTACCTTGGTATATCAACCTGATGATGGTACCTGGTATATCAACCTGATGATGGTACCTGGTATATCAACCTGATGATGGTACCTGGTATATCAACCTGATGACGGTACCTGGTATATCAACCTGATGATGGTACCTGGTATATCAACCTGATGATGGTACCTGGTATATCAACCTGATGATGATTGTACCTGGTATTATCAACCTGATGATGTACCTGGTATATCAACCTGATGATGTTACCTGTATATCAACCTGATGATGGTACCTTGGTATATTCAACCTGATGATGGTACCTGTATATCAACCTGATGATGGTACCTGGTTATCAACCTGATGATGGTACCTGGTATATCAACCTGATGATGGTACCTGGTATATCAGCCTGATGATAGTACCTGGTATATCACCCTGATGATGGTACCTGGTACATCAACCTGATGATAGTATCTAGTATATCAATCTGATGATGATACCTGGTATATCAATCTGATGATGGTACCCGGTATATCAATCTGATGCTGTTCCTGGTATATCAACCTGATGATGGTACCTGGTATATCAACCTGATGATGGTACCTGGTATATCAACCTGATGATGGTACCTGGTATATCAACCTGATGATGGTACCTGGTATATCAACCTGATGATGGTACCTGGTATATCAACCTGATGATGGTACCTGGTATATCAACCTGATGATGGTACCTGGTATATCAACCTGATGATGGTACCTGGTATATCAACCTGATGATGGTACCAGGAATATCAACCTGATGATGTTAAATGGTATATCAACCTAATGTTGGTACCTGATGATGGTACCTAGTATACCAACCTGATGATGGTACCTAATATATCAACCTGATGATGATACCTGGTATATCAACCTGATAATGGTACCTGATATATCAACCTGATGATGGTACTTGGTATATCAACCTGAACATGGTACCTGATATATCAACCTGATGATGGTACCTGGTAATTCAACCTGATGATGGTACCCGGTATATCAACCTGATGATGATACCTGGTTATCAACCTGATGATGGTACCTGGTGTATCAACCTGATGAGTGGTACCTTGGTATATCAACCTGAATGATGTAACTTGGTATATCAACCTGATGATGGTACCTGATATATCAACCCTGATCATGATACCTGGTATATCAACCCTGATGATGGTACCTGATATAACGGTCAACCTGATGATGGTACCTGGTATATCAACTTGATGATAGTACCTGGTTTATCAAGCCTTGATGATGATACCTTGGTATATCAACCTGATGATGGTACCTGGTATATCAAACCTGATGATGGTACCTGGTATATGATCCCTGATGATGGATAGATATAAGATCTGATATACCAACCTGATGATGGTACCTGGTTGTATCAACTTGATGATGGTACCTGATATACTTCAACCTGATGATGGTACCTGATATATCAACCTGATGATGGTACCTGGTATATCAACTTGATGATAGTACCTGGTTTATCAACCTGATGATGGTACCTGGTATATCAACCTGATGATGGTACCTGGTATATCAACCTGATGATGGTACCTGGTATATCAACCTGATGATGGTACCTGATATATCAACTTGATGATGGTACCTGATATATCAACCTGATGATGGTACCTGATATATCAACCTGATGATGGTACCTGATATATCAACTTGATGATGGTACCTGGTATATCAACCTGATGATTGTACCTGGTATATCAACTTAATGATGGCACCTGATATATCAACCTGATGATTGTACCTGGTATATCAACTTAATGATGGTACCTGGTTATCAACTTAATGATGGTACCTGGTTATCAACCTGATGATGGTACTTGGTATATCAACCTGATGATGGTACCTGGTATATCAACCTGATGATGGTACCTGGTATATCAATATGATGATATAACCTAGTATATCAACTTGATGATGGTACCTGGTATTTCAACCCAACGATCGAAAATGGCACACTAACTGGACGATAATGGCTGGTATACCAATCAGATAAATGTACCTGGTATAGCAACCGAAACGATGTTGCCTGATATACAAACCAGATATTGTGCCTAATACACTGTCAAAATTTAATGTATTCAAAGCAATGCTTTTACAAAAAGTTTCAAACGAGAATAGCACAGTTATATGATTATTATGAATTATTTTCATTAGCGAAATATTTTGGTTGTTTATTAAATAAATCGCACACCAAAAAAAAAAAATAATAAAATGAAAATAATAAAAAAATAAATGAATAAATAAAAAATGACAATAATAAAAACAACTAACATATTGTCACTATAAATGTAAATACAGCCTTGAAAAGTAACTTCCGTCGTCTGGTTGACCGACAAAGTATATACGCCATTCCAACCATACTTGATATATAAAAGCTAAACAGCAGGACCAACGTCACAACTATATACTTCATCTCAGAGGGATTTGCTGAAATGTTAGTAAGTAATAATAACAGAAAACCATGTAGGTATTACACGCGTAAAAAGTATTTTTATCACGCGACTTAACACCTCCCAAATACACTTGTTTAAACGCATTTGCCTTTAAATCGATGATTTCCCAAATTACTGATTTGCCACATGTATTGAAAAAGAGACTTTTTTCATTATACTGGAATAATGAAATATATGGGAAATTATCAATAAAAAGGTATTTAAGTTGAAACCATATGCATATTGAATCCCCTTTTTCTAGTGTTATAAAACCAATGCGTATTTCTTTATATTACACGCGTGTAATGTAACAGCACTGTTGTTCTATGTTAATCGTCTGTTATAAATGAAATAAACAAGTTGAAATGAATTGTTTTGAGTAAATAGACATGTGATAAAGAAAGGACCCGACATTTGTTGTCAGCTGATATTAAAAACGTCTATTCTATGAAACTCGTCAGAAAGCTCACCACCAAAGGGTCGCTTAATTACATTTTCATGAACACGTTTCATAAAAGTTACCACTCATGTCATTTCCTACACACTTGAACCCCCGTTCAACGGTTGCGAGTGCAACAAATGGTTGCAGGACTATTTTTTTTTACAAGATTTGTACTTTGGAAAGTTTTTTCATTCATGTAAGTTATTGCTGTCAAAATGGCGCATAGCTGTTTTACCCGCAACATTCTGGATGAATGATATAACATAACTATGGGTATAACGTTTAACTTTAGCTAATTCAAAACACACCTTTTCAATTTATGCTCACCGATGAAATACTATATTTGATTGGTAAAAATATAATCCATATCACTCAATAGATTATCCCCACACTGTGACTTACATAACTTAGCCGAACTTTTTAATGGTGTGGGAATTTATTTGTATGATTGTGTAACATTAAAACATTCCTTGTTTTAAGTTCTTTATAGTTCTTTTAATTCCATGTGTTACACTGCAATTATGACTCTGAACTTTGTACAAACTCAATTAAACCGAGTCTTCAAGTTTCATGTAATTTTGATGTGATTGATTCTTCGGAGGGATCACAGTTTTTCAAGATTTTTTATCTTGAATTATGCTCTATTTTTGTTAGTGTCACCTCTGATGTCATTTTCCACGTGCATTTATCTCATTTCTCAGTGAGCTTTAAAATTACATATCATATTCAGTCAAAACAGACAAATATCTTCTATTTATATTTTATCATTTTCCCCTCAGTAAACCCCAATTTTAACACGGATAAGATCTTTTTGCAATTTTGTTCAATCTCTTTTTGTAACATGAAGTATAGTTAACCAATCAATGTGTACATCATATAAAGTCATGCTTAATGATCATAAATAAATTACATTTTGGTGTGTTAATATTTTATGTTAAACTACTAAGTACGTATGTCTGTCCAATATCTCGTTGATCATATAATTATTTAAGACAGGCTGATGTTCAACTGTTTAATTTATGATTGTTCAATTGATAAATTTTTCTGCATTGCAAAAAAAACTACTTTTCAAAGTCTGGAAAACAACCTAACAAAACACGCAGACAATGCTTAAAAATGCTTGTAAAAAGAAAAAAAATGTTGTTGACCCAATGCAACATTGGTATGTTTTTGTGGTATTAATTTTACATACGTATAGTTTATTGTCGCTGTAAACTCGGAATAAAGAGTTTAATAAAGGTTGAAGAAACCAAGCAACTGTATGTTGTAAAATTGCTTTTTTGATCAAAATCTGTCATGCTTAACTATATTTTAATACGTTATTAAATCCAAATCAAAACTACATGTCCCTAATGTTTGTTTTGATGGTAGATTTACGCTTAGAAGGTGTGTGTTGGGGGAGTCGGTGGCAGGGGTATGTTGGGGGGCATGCAAATGAAATTACTTCAATGTATCGCAGGATTTTTCTTTATTCTAAACCACCAAAGTGCATCTTGAATAAAACATTTCCATTGTGATTACATTGTTTAACAAACCAATTGATGAATAATTTGATACTTGTATTTGGGATGCTTATTGCTATATTTTCATTCAAATATATTTTGTAACATGGGTCTAAGACCTGGGTTAAAACATCAATAACATGAAACTTTGAGTATATTTAAAAAGTTGAAACTACTGACCTTTCTTTTGTAATGAACAGTTACTTATTGCACTGTTGTTTGCATTTGCAACACATCTCAAGGTCTCTGCTCTATTTATATATCCCGTGACTTCCTCCTTTACCAACAGAGTTCCATTTTCCTCACGGCTGTCTTTGTAAACATTATACAAAGAGACATCACCTGTGAAATACGCGCCGTACACAAACAGGGAAACAAGTACGTAAAATAAATGCGTGCATATATAGCCAATTATCACAATCCTCTGTTTAACAGACATATTGTCTTTTAAACTCTTTAAAGACTTATAAGCTGTTTTCTTTATTACGCGAGCTGTATTAGATATCCGTCACTGCAAACTTTATATTATAATAATGATGAATATATACCCTAAGAGACGCGTACGTGTTTAACAATACTTGTTTTTAAATCCGGTTATATATGTATGAAGACTTACTTTATATAGTAATTTGACTTCCTAGTAGGGCTGATAATACAAGTATTTAGTAGAATATCAAGGTTACACGAGCATTCGAGTGAGAAGTTTGCGATCAATGAACGCTTTAAAATAAACGGATATTTACGCCCAGACGAGCGTATAAGACGGGGTAAACATCGAGGAAGCATGATAAAATGCACGTATCTCATGAAAAGGACACCACGGGTATCTCTATACGATTTTTTACCCACCGTTATATATATATTGTTTATATCATTATGTTAAAGATGATGTATAATATACAAATCTTTATTTAGTGTTTATCTGTTAATTTAGTGAAACATTATTTTTGCATTATTCTAAAATTTACCGAATCACGTTTACTTTGATAAATCAGCTCCTATTAATCGATCTAGTAGATCGGAAGTATATACATGTAAAAAATAATCTCAATCACTAATTCGGTATGCGTTCTTTAGTAAGCATTTCCAGAATTTAAATTCGTTGAACGTTTGAGTTCTTGACTAATGAACATAAAGCTTAATGTAGCTGTATGTTCTGTTCGGTATGCACATGAAAGAACCTAAGATATTCGGCATGATTGGACCCAACCGAACGGCAAAAAGAGATAGTGTACGCATAGTCTAAAACAAACTGTATGTTGCGGTCAATCAGATTTTACTTGGGATAACACAAAGACCAAAAATTAATGTGTTTTTTTTCCAGTGATGATAGTAAAGTAAAAATATTGCAACATATCTCGCTGCTATTATTATGACTGGATTAGAAACAAAACAAAGTGGGCGACATTTTTATCGTTTAACTTTATTCTGTTGGATTATATTGGCATCGACAATCTCTGATTTAAGAGGGAACAGCTACTTTTTAACGTGCTCAGAAAAAAGAACTAGTACACTAGACCTCTGTTTTTGAAGTTTTATACGAAGTGGTAGTTAACGTTTTGGAAGCGGTGACGGGATCGTTAAACTTGCAATCCCGCATAAGTAGTGATACACTGTTGTCAATGTGCCCAGTATCACTAGGCTTGATCTGAGTTTAGTATAGTAAACCCTTAAAGTGCTGGAACTGACAGCTTTAAGCCTTTGCCACTAGTATAGAGCCAGGCCAGCCTGCACATCCGTGCAGTCTGACCAGGCTCTATACTGTTGGCTAACAAATTTTTAATATTAAAATTGATATTCCTAAAATTAATAATAGACAGTCCCAAAAAGTGAAGTGGGACAAGCCCATTTAAAATATTCAGTATGTTAAGGATTAATCAATTTTAACTTTATATTATTGAAATGTACTTTCTTTCAATAATACAATGATTACTCTTGTGTTTAAATAATTAAAGAAAAAAATGAAAAAGTACATTACCTATTATTGACATTTATTTCTTTAAAGCGATATTAAATCGCATTTATTACTGCGATGAGATGTTCCTATATTTCACAGATTTGAAATTGTTACCTCGATCCATTGGGAAAAGAGTTTAAAACAGTAATAATAAGCGAAGACATTTTGAGAAATCAGGTTTATTTTTAACATTTAAAATTAACTACAGTGGTTTATATTCTGTTACAATCATAAAGTGTCTCTTTTCTTCAGCACTCTTTGCTACGCCACCTCTACATCAGCCTGAAAATATCAACAAATACAATACAGTAGAATCCTTCCTTAAGACCACCCCGGAATTAAGACCACGCCGCTATTAAGACCATTTTTATAAGAACTGAATTGTAATGTTGTTATTTTCTGCTTAAATGCTCTTAGGCATGACACTTCATTTCACTAGGTGTCAAAAACACCTTTTATTATTGGGATATTGTATGAAATAAGGTGAGAAAGTAGATTTTAGAGTGGTTTAATGTTGCTTTAAGCACATTGATTTTGCTATGAATTTATTTCTTATTTGATTGGTGTATTATGTACATCATATAATAATTAATATTGAAATCAGGTCAAATAGAATTTGATATTAAATTGCTTCAGAAATGTTTTCTTCCCATCAGATGTAACATTATAACATACTTGAATATTTGCAGGTTAAGATACATATTGTTTATTTACACAAAATGACTAAAATAGAACATGGTCGTAAAGTGTGTAAGCAATAAGAATACTCACAATTAAGACCACCCCGCAATTAAGATCACTTTGGTCCAGTCCCGATGGTGGTCTTAATTGAGGGTTTTTACTGTACCTATTTTATTTTAAAAGAATTAATAATGTCATCTAGAGCATGTCCAAACAATACATAATATATATTTAAATTGACCTTTTGACGTTAATAAGACGTAGGTGTGACTGAGAAAGACAACACAAAAACTTTATAAAGTCTTGTGGTTTTGTAAACTAACATTGTTATTTTCTAAATATAAACAGTTTATTACATTTATTACTTCTTTAACATAAATATCAGCCTTTTCTTTTTGCCCGTTTTTATAAGATAAGTCAATCAAAGTAACTCGCGTTCTGTACTGACCTACAATCACGGAGCCGCTACCACTTCCACCTGATACAAAACGAATAAAAAGAGTGCATTTATTTATTCTAGAAAAGTAAGAAATTCTTAAGTGTAACTTTAGAGTTGAAACCTTTTTTCAACATGTTCAGTGTCTGAGGAACTTATAAAAAGCCTAACAGCTATATTGCATATCATTTTTGAAAGGGTGCTTTTATTAACATTGCAGACATCTTGTAACCTTAGCAGTGTAGCAATTTTTAACAAGTTTTGTTTTTCATTTTAACGCATTCTAATACAATAATTTTGTTAAAATCGACTGATAAGATTTTAGGTGTGCAAAAAGTTTAACATTCTTTTACTTACATGTGGTCTTTTTACCATAATTTGATGGTCAGATTTTTATACATAAAATGTTACTGGTATTGGGTAATGATAAGGTAGTTGATTATGTTTAGTTTTCATTGGTTCACGATTAAAATAAAAGATAGTTTACTTCTTGGCCGGATGTACAGAGACGGCTTAATCTTATTAGTTTTATTGTATATATATACATACATTACTTTGTAGTATTACTCACTTCATACAATTGACACAAAATTTATGACTTTGATATCGAAATCGTTTATGATAAAAGTGAGATATTCAAAAATCAAGGAAAGTACGGCCAATTACAAAAATAAAACACAGCAAATGTTAATCGAAATAATCTTACCGCCGCATCGTACTCTTAGATGGTAAGGATGATCATATTCGGCATACCACGATCCTTTCTTGAAATGGCATTGTTGTATACTGCTTTCATTACCTGTACATTTTACTAAAGACATCCAGAACGGATCGTGGTGTCGTCCATAGTTACCATCGGTAAGCACTGTACCATGTCCACTACAATGAAGAAAAAATACACACGAGCAAACTATACAATGAATTCAGTCACTGTAAGTATTTTGAAATTTATATCCTTAGTTTATTACTGATATACGTCGACTTGGGCACGAGAGATATTAATGCACTTGAAAAAGCTGCCTTACGCAAAACATCTTTGTAAGTCTTAGTTTGGATGTTTAAGTCATGAGTGAAATGGACTCATTGACTGCATATTTTAATCATTTTTTTGTAACAACCAAATTGTTTTCTTGTTTTCATTTCATCTGTTAGTACTTTACTTATCTGTTCACTTTACAATATGTTGTGAATAAATTTATTCACTTCCTTTTTTGCCTTACTTCCATTTTTACTCCTTCTCACCAAGATGTATCAAGCATCTTTTCTTTGTACCTTGCATCTTCGTAAGGTTGTAAATGGGAGGTATAGACGGTAGCTCCCGTTTATAACTACCGTCCATTAAAATGAACTGGCTTAATCAAACCGACTCTGCAACATTTTCAGTTAAGCAATGTTCAGTGACCTTTTGTTTTTGCATATCATGTTTTCAAAATGCATAATCTTATTTTAAATCGTATAATGTGACTGAATATTTTGTTAACATGTTTAATCTTTAAACAGTATATGTTTATCTAATTTTCGTACCTGAATCCCATCTCTCTACAGACAACCTTGGCAGCATTATCTGTCTCATTATAGGTCATGCCTTGCGTTGCTATGTAACCCCATCTGCCGTTGATAAGGAGTTCAACACGCCCATCAGTTTGGCCTACACCCCCTGTCAGCCGCATTTGAGTCACATTGAATCCTGTTAAAATAATGAACAAACAACTATGTAAGTAAACAATTAAAATGGAAAGATCTATAAATGTTACGTGTCCATTTTTCTATATTAACAAACCAATTTATTATTTTGATAAAAAGATTTACGATTTGAGATTAGGAAAAAATCCAAAACCTGTACAATCATTTACTCAAATACCTTTTTTCTGAACATTATTATTACAGTGCTTTTTGCAAAAATAATAATTTCAGGCCTAGAATTACATAGAAAGGACATTTTTATATCGCCAGACTTAAAAGAGAACATTTTACCGTCCAGACCCACAATCCCTTGTACGAGATTCATTGGCCCTTGAAGTTTGTCGATTTCCGCCATCTTTTTTTACGTAACCAAAAGCTTTTTTGTCTCGATCATTCTTCATTTTATTATTATTCCATCTTATTATAGCATATTTGCAAATTCTTTAATTATAGTCGTATTTAAAAGAAAAAAAGGAGATAATTTCTTTGAAAATTCAAGTAGGCGGAATATGGTTTCGGGAAATCTCACGAAAATGTGAACTTGTGGGATAATTAATCCCTTATACATATTTGAGGTGTATGATGCCATAGCTTCCGCTCCATTTTAATATAGCTCATTGATATTGCGGAAGCCCTAGCCAACAACGTTCGTAAACATTCGGAGTATAATGTGAATTATATCACTAATACTGTTCTTCTCCGAATCGCATCCTTTCGGTCCTTCCGTCAAACTTCGGATAAGAACATCGATGTTCCTAATGGTTCTTCTCCATGCCCTTGTAGATATGTTTCCCAGCGACAATCAAACAAATATAACTTACAGTTTCATAACCTGTAATTCATATTTCACTCTTTTTTACTTGAAAAGTTATGGGACTGAGAATAAACATTGAGAAAGAAAAAAAAATGTCTTTAAAGACAAACAGTTTGTATATACAGATGGTCATTATAAACAACTTCGGAATAATTGTTACATTTACAAACTTACCGAAGCAGTACAGCCATGTTCCTTTCCGGTATGTATGCTGTAACGGTGGCACTTCCCCAAAAGGGCCATGACTGCATTGCATAATGTCTTTCTCGGTGCCATCACAAGCAAGGCGGCCTAACCACGCTTTTCTCCCGTACGTTTGTAACGAGTTGCCCGTAGTGCTGAATCCAACTTTGCTAAAAATGCAGCAAATGAAAGATGCCTAAACTAAGTGACATTTGTCTATCTGTGTTGGGCAAAAAAGCAACAAAAACAAAAAATACAAAAAACGGTCCAGATGTTATTTTCTTCCATATTTTTTCTTAATATTTCATCAGCGTCATATTCTAGAGAGTGACACATACATAGACTGTTTTAGGTAAATAATCAGTATTTTTACGAAAAGTAAAACCGCGAGATTGAATAATCATATATTCATGGGGTTTCAGTTTACGAAAACATAATGCTGTGTTCCTAGTGAACATTTTATATATGTATGGGTTCCTCATCCTATAAAATTGATGGAAGACAGAGAATAAAATCTGGTCCGGGTTTTGTATTGGTTGTCTGCCCTATGTTCCGTAAAAAGTGTACATTCATAGCAGGTACAAATGCTGTTTAAGTCATAAAGAATTTAACCCATTAAATGAATTAAACATTTTGAAAATAACTGAAAATGACAACAACAACAAATATTTTTCGAGTAAAACACGTTAAATTTAGCAAAGAAGTTCCGAAAGTAGCTAAATGGAAAGCACAACCGCCTCGATTTTAAATTTTAAACACACAGTATTTGCTAAAGCGTTTACTTCCCTTGCTCAGTAGAGACGTAACCGTGTGCGAATTGCCACATTTCTTTGTTGACCTTGTTTTTCGTATTTGATGCTTAACGACATACTGTTCGCTACCTATAGACCTGTCACAGTTTAATTATTTCTTAACCAATGTAATGAATCTTAAAAGTTGTTTACTGGGCGCGACTTATGGAGTTTCAGTGTATATTTTACAAGATTCTAAATATAACCAACACAACCTGCGAAAAGGAAATGGTCAACAGTAGTGATATTCCATTTAGTTTGATGACGAAATATAATATACAAATGTTTGCATTTGACACGTTTCAAATCACATCATTCATTTCTTGCCTTTAGTTTAAAACATTTTGTCCTCAGATCAAGACAATGATCATAATTATTACCCGAGATTAAATCTGTCACACAGATAGGAGGACGTTTTGTCGTCAAAAACAAATCCTGGATTTCCAACCATTCCCCAAGATCCGTGGTAAAAAACTTCGACGGGGCCCTCGTCTTTATACTGATTCATTCTTGCCAGTCGAATAGCTAAATTAAAAGAATGTTTTAGAATTGTAATGCTCAATCAAGTCAAGTCGTCAATTCTTTTTCTCTCTTATTTTCATTCATTTCAATCGTATAATACGATAAGTAGAAGTAGAAGATAGAAGATTTTACAACGATGTGTTACTCTCTCCCAATTTTGTATCAGTGTGTATTTCACATCACCGAGCAAATTATATCAATTCAATCACTGAAAATAAGAGTAGAAAATGAGGTATAAAACAAAGTTGTTTTTTGTTGTTGTTTATGTCGTTTCCTTTTCGACTTAAGCCTGCAACATTTTCAATTTTGCCGTGTTTGAGCTTTATTTAGAGCCCCCTGTTTTTCTCTACTTTTAAGGTTAATCATACAAATGTGAAGTTACCTTTGCACGTAACAGATGCCGCAAAAATACATTGAGAGGTCAAATTTTGAGACCGGTCACACTCGGATAGCGAATATTCACAACCAGTACACGACAATTGCTTATTGTATATAGGATAAACACCTGCCTCACTTTTGTCTATACTTATTGCACCACTGAAATATTATAATATACATATTACAACACTGTAATAGTATAATATTCTTATTGCACCACTAAAGTATTATACTACACATATTCTTGCATAAAAACTGTGCAAGAAGGTATACATTAACGTATAAGAAAAACGTGCTTTAACAAATAAATTCTCGTGACACATTTTCGCGAGCACATTTTTTGATATTCATGATTAAAAAAAACCCAGCTTAATGCAATGACGGCCCGGGAGTATTTTTGTTAAATTGATCCAATTATAATGTAAATTTAAAAACAGGGCTAGAACTTTACGTAAAATCAACTCGGCAGCGGAATGGTGAGGAGGAAAGGTATGGGATTTATTTTCTTACTCGTATCCTAAATGATTACACACAACATTTGCAGCATTCATGTCTACACCGTCATAACACAGTGAATACTTGTTACCATCTAACGATGCCTCAATAAGCCCACTATTATTCGTCGGACCACCAGTTATCTGGGCATCTAATGAGAAAAAAGAAATCATTTGTCTGAGTTCTTCTTTCTTTATCTGTATCAGCTTCAATTTAACCTTCTTAAAATGAACTGAAATGCTTCAAAAATAAACCTGCTAGACTAAATAGCTTTGTGCAAAATTATACAAATTAATTATATTTAGAAAGCCAATCCTTGGACTATTCCGTCATTTATTTGTTTCCATGACTGTTTTTAAAATAAAACTTTACCGGGATTTTAGCTAATATAAAAATACTATGTTAATCAGGTGTAAACATTGGTTTGCATATTTACTAGCGTAAGTTGCTAAAATAAAAAGTTATATCATTTACATGTTGGACATTGATATGTTAAAACATATATGTTAATAATGTACTAACCTACACAAAACAACCGTGTACCGTGTCTATAGGCCCAGTCCGTTTTGTTGCTGTAGTAGTCTAGTTTCCATTTGTTAGGAAAATGACATTGATCTAAAACAGTTTCTTGACCGTGACACTCTAAACCGTATGTCCATACCACTCCACCATAGTTGTCAATAGAAGTCCATCCGGAACTGTATCCAAAATCGCTGTGGAAATTGAGTACATTTCATAAGTTGGTGCTTGATGAACTAAATGGCAAATACTGCACCAGATGCGCAGCCTTATGCAAATTTATTTCCTAAACGAGCTCGACACTTAGTAAAAGGTGGTCCAATATACTTCGTTTTTAATAATATTAAACGAATTGAATAAGAGCACAAAAAGAAACATTCTAGCCCTCACTAAACATTTTCACAGGAAATTTCTTGCTCAAAAACGAAGAATTGGTTATAGACGTCTAAGGTTAGTCGATGATAACGCACATATAAAATATTATTAGTTTTGCTTTTCTGTATATCTGATAAATTTTCTGTCATAAAATATTGAAACGAACTTGACCAATTGTGTGACCCAGACATATTTTACAAAGTAAGCAGCGTTACCTTGGTGCTTTAGTTCGAGATTCGGCTTTTATCTCATAGAACGTGACACACTTTATCTGCTATGCGCTAATTTCAAGGCAATATGACACGGAAGTAAATATATCAGGCCTGCCAAATAGCAATAACAGTAATTTATAATAATCAATTAGTATTATTTGTGTTATTAAACAGACTTGTTGCTTTAACGGTCGTATGATTTAAATAATTTCTTTTGAATTCGATTTACTATGAAATAATTTGATCAATTTACTTTCGTTTCGGTAATAAATTTACGTTACTTTCGGTGTTACTTTAGCACAATACTTTTGTTATGTTCTCGACCCTGCATTACGGCATATACACGGTGGTATATTGGTCATGTGTTGAACATTGTGTAGCTGAATCAATTGACATAATGATCATTTCATTATTGAATTACGTAAGACGATAAATCCAACTAAATGTTTTTTGTTCTATTTTAGACATGCACTGAATTCGAGGTGTCAATTTATGTTTGTTATATATGTTCTAATTGCCAAACTGCAGAATAGATTTTATTTATATTTAATGAGACTAAACAAAGAAACATAATATAATTCATATGTTTGCTTTAATGTAAACTACCTTAAACCTAATGTCTTGCACAGCAAAGCAGACGTCTCGTCTGAAAATCTGTAAGCAGGACTGCCAATAAGTCCCCACGTGTTCTCGTGATATACTTCTACAAAACCTTCATTTCCTCGTGCATTAACAGGCCATAATCGTACTTCAAGACCTGTTGCAAATAAAGAGTAATACAAACATACAGTAATTGTGGAATTATGAGTACGGTTGACCAAATGAATTCTAATGATGCGAGACTTAAATATATATTAAGCATTTTGTAGCCTATTTAGTGTAAAAAAAACAGTAAAAAATATATCCGCGAGATTTTCTAAAATATCAAAATTACAATTTAAATCCTGTGAAAGACCCCAAAACCCATTGCTTGCATATTCCAAATTTCAAAACAATTTCTTCAGATATGAAAATCGAAATAAGAAAAAAACTTTGTATTCCGTTTTCCCGCGAACATACAAAAACCTTCTGTATCACCTATTCTCACTTATTTCTTTCAACAAAGTCATTTTATCTGTATGTTAAGATCGTACAATTGGCACAACAAAAATAGTAAATAAACGATTCTTTACATATATCAAAAATGATAAATCATAAAAAATAGAACATACCTGATATGTAGGCAAAATTAACCAAAATGATATATATAATATAACACAGTACCATTTTAACAAATGTAATTTTATATCGACTTTAACTCAAGTGTAATGAGGACAAATATAACTGTCAACTGTGCTCAGTGACCAGCTATTTATTAACATTATCTTATCAAAGAAGACTTAAAAAGTCATTCAATACAAGGTTTCTCATTAGATCTAGATTGACTACTGATAAGAATAGGTGGTAAATATTTTAGCTTAGCATTCAAGGTCAGAAATAACCTACGATGCTTATCAAACCTATTGCTTTCTTGGTCTCTTAACAGACGCTTTTAACAAACGCTTGATGAAATATACCTCTTGACTAATATTTCATGAACTCAGAAAACGGGCATTTTTTTCTCACTCGGCAGGCAAATCTGTAATATTGTAATAATAAAAGAAATTATCTTAAGTAATTTTATTATGATTAACTGTTGTATCTTGTCTTTGAAGAACACTGATTATCAATGTAAATGTCAGTTGTTATGACATTAGATTGGGATTTTCATATTACTAATATGCCAACATTAAAGAAACCCTTGTAAATATATCTGTTGTGTATAATCTTGTCACAAGACGCATTGACATAAATACTGAACGTCGGAATTTTAAAAATGCCGCTCTAGATTTGGATGAAGATATTTGAAGAGTTGCGTATGTGGATCATAAACAACTTGAATGCGTTCATTGTTTGGGTAGGTTCAGGTTTTTAAAGCTTGTACATATTCTGTCAAAAGATGTGCATCACACACCTTTGCTACTTATACAAAATGTGTAAAAGGTCTACAAGAATAAAAAGTAGCAAGTAGTACAGTAGTGAATTACCCATTTCAGCCACCTGACCCGAGTCCCCGTTTATACTTCTCTACATTGACAAAGTTCATAAAACTACTCTCTAAAGTCCAGAAATACATTTCATCAAATAATTGTTTCGTACGCTTGTGGATAAAATGTCAAATTCAAATTACATAATAACAATTACCCGTGAATTTTCTTACCTTGAACCGGTGCAGCTTTAAGTAAAGTTCATATTTTGCAAGGATATCGTTTACAAATGTGAAGAGTCAACTATGTTACATAATATTGCAGTATACTACAGATTTAAACTTTTCGCCATAACGAACATGCGAAAACTGAACATTAAGCATGTACTAATTACTTTTCGCGGTATATTTCAAAGGTGGCAAATAGAAGTTTTCACACGACAAATGTCACGCTAATTTCAAACTTTCGACCCACAAGCTGTCATGCAATGTATCTCGGGTGAGTGGAGTGACCAAAAGCCAAAAAAAAAAACACTTTTCAAATTTGTATAGAGAACTTTTTTTCTCAGCGTTTGTTTTTATCTACAAACCAAAAACTGTGCATATCCATATCGGCACCTTCTTTACGAAATCTACTAAATCTGTACCCTCTTTGCCCGTGCACAGGTCACTCTCTATATCGGTACCCTCTTTACGAAATCTACGTCACTCTCTGCCGAGAGCAAATCGAAAGACAGACACCAATCCATTTATTTTAGACCACAAAACATATCTTCTTTTAAAATTCGAATGACCATTCAATGGATTGTCTCTGTCGGCAGAGAGTGACGTAGATTTCGCAAACAGGGTACCGGTATGGACATTCACTGTGAAGAAATATTTTATCTGTGTGCCACGTACACCTTGCTAATGACTGTTAAGTGGAGCAATTAAAAATATTTGTTTCCATGATTTGCACCATGTGTATTCAGTAACGCAGGAATTTTACAAATAACGCACGAATTGACTTCATGCGAAAAACAACGGTATTAAAATTTAATTATTTATGTAAAGGTTATAGTTCTTATATAAGAATTATGTACAAATTAAGCGTAATGGAGCGTTAACCGGTTTATAGTTCACTCCGCCAATTTTTGTCGATCCGTTTCGTATGCGCCATGCCCAAAACACGATGTTGGCAGTCATTAAAATTTAGGTCGACCATGTAAACGTGTGACTATTGGCTAATACCTGCAAATACACTAACGGACGATTACATTAGACTGAACAGGCTGAAAAGCTTAACATGTATACTTTTCGGGTCACAAGGTGTACATAAGAAACCTCGGCCGGTCATTGCGGACGTATTAAATTTTATTCGAACAGGAGGAGATAATGAATTCTTTCAGGATTTACTCTCAGAGGAAGAAAATAAAATTTCATTGACGCAGTTACTGATGGTGAACACGCAACAGCTCCTGAATTACGAAAAATGTACACTTTCAGTTTTTTTTCAGGCTCATTGGTGCTTTTAATTGTGTAGGGCTAGGGCTTTTTGTTATATGCGACGGCCGCTCTTCGTAAAGACAGACATCTATGTAATATCAGTCGTTAAATATCAGTCGGTCTTGCAGCCAAACTAATCTACGTGTACCTTTATATTATTCTGTGTTTTGTGCAGAAATCATTCTTGCATCAAAGTAAAAACTAGGTGTCTGAGTTCGATGTTTAAATTCATTGTTGCTGTATTTGTTTTTGAAGAAGACTACAACGCTAAAATGAAGCTTAAATCTTATAAACAGACTCAATTAAGCATATTATACAATATTCATATAATATTGAGGTTTCCATTGCTTTAAAGGAATGATTTAGTTATCTAGTATTTGTAGATTTATTTATTTTAGTGCGCCAACATACATTAGTTACATTATACAAAACAAATTGATCAACTAATGATTAAAATGTCAGCTGTCTATGAAATATATTAACTGTTTTAGAATACATTAAATTTTAATAAAATTAAATATATACATTACTTGTGTCGATTATTTTGTTTCATTTTTTTGTACCCAAAACGTTTTGTTGATATTATTTTACCTTATGCTTTCCAGTAAGAAAACCTTCCGTAATTACATACTTAAATAATTATTTATAATAAAAAATGCCATTCAGCCAACAATTACTTTTATGGTGTGCACATATTTCTTTTTCCGAAAGTTACAAAGACAAGGAAGTTTATGTTAGTATATGTATTGTTTAAACTGAAAACGAAGGTATCATATAGGTCATTTAAATACATGTACCTACTGATGCCATTCTTCACAATAGTTTTCACATTCTGTGAAGTCTGTTATATTTGTCTAAAGACATTGAAATAGTCGTACTGAGGTGTGTAAAAATAGTGACAGATAGTCCGCCGGTCTGTACTTCTGTGCTATGATTAAAGGGCAGAAGTCGTTCTAGCTTTCTTTTGCTTTTTTTGTTTTTAAAGGCTACCGCGCTAAAAAGGAGATGAAACATAACGAAACATTGTGTACAGATCTAACTCTATGGTAACTTTTTCTGAAACAATGGGGTTAAAATTTAAAGATGCTAATTCAGAGCCAAATTTTGCTGATTTCGGGGCATATTTTAATGTTTCATACTTTTTGTAAAATGTTTTCTTGTTTTTTGACCGGTGGTCAACTGTCCCTTTTGGACACTTTCAATAAATGTCACCCTTCCTTGTTTGATCTATGTTTTTTTATATATTTTCATATATTTGAGCATAAGTAGAGGGTCATTTGCTATAGATAGTAATGTACTTGATAAAGGACTTGAGACAAGTTCAGCCACCGCAGTAATAGCATTTCCGAGGCTTAATAGGCCCTTTTGAATAAACCATAGCTAAAACAAACGTGTGTAGTGTACCGTTGATAGGTAAACACAGCTTGGTTGTGGTGTTAATAGTTTTCACTCAGGATCACGGCAGTAAACCACATTGAATTTACCGGAGCTCAGTTCAGCAACCGCAGGCTGTCAAGCAGTTCACTAGTACTAGTTGCCTTCATTTTCTCAACGAACTGATACCTTCTTTTCATGCCAGAGCAGAGGTACAGTCAGTGCCAATGATTGTAGAAAGGATTTCATGATCAAACTCAACGAAAGGGACAAAGCCCGGGTCGCCCGATTCACACACGTATTGAGCTCACAGGACGGCTCCATCTTGAGATGGCAATCGTGGACCCGTTTTATGTCTTTAACTGATAGACTCAGTAATATCCTGTCCGTGATATTCGTTCAACAAAATTATTTGAACCGCATTTGAAATATCTCACTTTTTTCCGGAAGGACCAAGTAACCACAAGCAAAGACATTTTATTATATCAGGTTTATTTTTAACGTTAAAAATTAACTACAACGATTAAAATTCTTTTAAAAGCGTAAAGTGTCTCTTTTGTTTAGCACTCTTTGCTATGCCAGCTATACATCAACCTAAAAATATAAATGAATTAATGACTATTTTCTTTTTAAAATAACTATCTGGATCATGTCCTAACATATAAAAGTACATTTTCTATTTGACGCCAAAAAATAAAAGTAATGGTTAGTACCAGTTTCGTACACTAACATTTACATTTTCTAAAAACAAATACATGTATTGATTACATTTTCAACATCTTTAAATGAATATTAGCAAATATCTGTTCAACATTAGAGAAAATAAATAAATAATAGTTAATTAAGTTGTGTACTGACCTATAATCGGGGAACCCAGTCCGCTTCCACTTCCACCTGATGACAAATAATAAAAAAATCGTTTATTCATCATAAAAGCATGAAATCTTAATCTGTCACTTCCTTGAGCATATGTATCTAGCTAGTATTTGTAGTAAAATGTGTTAAAAAAAGAACATGACATCATATCCAAAATGTCTGTTCTTACAATTCTGCAGAAATCTTAAAACTTAAAGGCAAAAAAGCAAACTTTAAACATGTTTTTTTCTTTTATTAAACGCTTTTTATCAAAATAATAAGATTTAGGTGTAAATTAAACCTTTTCTTTTTCATTTTGTTTGTTCATTGTTGGTTCAGTGTTTGATTGTAAGATTTGATTAGATGACGAAATGCTAGCACTTGATTCTGTTAGGTTGATCACAATAAAAATATATTTAATTATGTTTTGACATTAATTAAAGAGTATTTCGGTTGTTTTTGAGACATTGAAATTAATCATTTTGCAATCTTACTTCCTCTCTACAGCTGGTTTTTAACTTTAAGGACTTTGATATCAAACCTTTTACAATGAAAAAGACAGGATTGTCAAAGACTGACAAGTCCAGTTGTAACATGATTGTCCCATACTTTGTACAAAATGGCCCATCATTTTCAGAACCAACTGGACCCAGGGTCCAGCACTTTCAAATAAATTCTCAGCAGATCTCTTGGATTAATTATATAAAATCTTACCACTGCATCGCACTCTAAGATAGAAGGGGACATCATACACAGCATATGTCGCCCCTTTGTTATAGTGGCACTGCAGTATACTGCTTTCATTGCCTGTGCATTTTAATAAAGACATCCAAAACAGATCATGATGTCGCCCATAGTTACCACCGGAAAGCACTGCACCATGGCCACTACAATGAAAGAACTAAACTATGAATTAAATAACTTTGAGTCTTTTTTAAGGATTTAGTTTCTTTGTATATGTACTGATATATCTCGACTCGGGTACATTCAAAATGGCTTTCTAATTTTAGGCATGGTCTGGATAACATGATCTAATGGATGTTTGAATCGTGAGTGAAGAAAATGAGGATAAAGATCAGCATGACAAGGCGGCGTTCATAGAACGCAGCTCCCTACACAATCCAGCCATAGCAACAGGGCAAACAGAAGAATCAGAACTGAAAACAGACACAAGAGCGGGAAAGTAGGGAATGTACGTGTAATAAGTAAATATGAAGTCGACTCGTTAAATGTACAATTTAGTCAATTTGTTATAACAAACCATCGTATTCTTATGTACATTTCATCTTAAACTACTTTAAACTTTACATATTAAAACATTTTGTGCATCAATTATCTTTCATATGCGTTGAGGGTTGGTGGGTAGCCAGTAGCTTACATTCACCTCTACTGTCCGTCATGAACATCAATTGACTCAATCAAACCGTCCCTGTGACATTTTCAGTTTTGCCATGTTTTACTTCTTTCTACGATTATACTCCGCATAATTTTATAGCGTTACTTAATGTGCTCCATGCATCTCAATAAAAACGTTACATCTATAGCTACAATTTTTTTATCTAATTTTCGTACCTGAATCCCATCTCTTTACAGATAACCTTAGCAGCATTATCTGTATCATTATGGGTCATCCCTTGCGTTGCTATGTAACCCCATCTGCCGTTGATAAGGAGCTCGACACCCCCTTCATGTTGGTCTATACCCCCAGTCAGCCGCATCTGAGTCACATTGAATCCTGTCAAAATGAATATATTTACAACCATGGCAAAAAAGTAATTAAAATATAAAATCGTGATAACTGTAATATGTACATCTTATATCATTTTAACCAAACCATTTACCATTTAAGGGAATTTTCAAAATATGTAGCGATCAGTCCAGTCCATGATTAGACGACACGGTCGCATCCCTAAAGAACTCCCAAAACAACATAATTGAAAATGTTGCAGACTCGGTTTGATTGAGCCTGTTCATTGAAGGTACTGGAAAGTGCAAGTTACCGTCCTTGCCCCCTTGTTGTCGCCACCAGTACATTAAGGATCGTACAAAAGATATATTGTCATTTGCTTAAAAGTTCCTTTTATTCTAGACTTTGTATTTTATAGGAAAACGTTTAAATTCAAAATGTTTAAATCCTAGAATAATACACAATATTCTATTTCTAATACTTCTCTAAAAAGCAGAAATAAGTATTTTAGATGGACATCAAAGTACTGATTGAGGTGGCGAGTCTTTCTAAAGTGTGCCCGTTATGCAATGATAGCAACGTTTTGTTAACAATCGAAGAATGTTTGGTAGAAAGTGATGAAAATTGTACATACAATGGATTATATACGTGCTCATCCATAACGTTTTGGGGATATGTTTCCCGGCGATTTTACAATATTTATACATGTAATATATTGATGTAGATTAAGAAAACTGTTACGAATACTTTATTCTCTTTTACTAAAAAAAAATGATGCCGAGTTGCCATAAAATGGAAGAATGTCAATTTAGACAACCTGTTTATATACAGATGATCGTTTTATACAGGTTCGGCAATATTTATATCTATAATTTGTGTCATTTACAAACCCACCAAAGCAGTACAACCACGTTCCTCGCCTGTATGTATGTAGTAACGGTGGCACTGCTGAGAAACTAGAATGCTTACATTGCATTACGTCTTTCTCGTCACCTTCACAAGAAATGAGACCTAGCCACGCCTTCCTCGCATACGTTTGCAACGAGTTCCCCGTAGTACTGAATCCAGCTTTGCTAAAAATGCAACCAAAGTATACACAAATCAGGTATCTGCATTTATTGTCATAAAATTTTGAAAATAACTGCAAATGACAACAACAAATGGTAACCCATAAAATAAAGCAGGAATTTCCGGTTGAAGGTGAATTGAACCAAGTGCTTTTTTGAAATTGTCTTTTCAGTTCATCAGTTTTAATGGAATATGATTATATTATAGTCATAATTAAACTCCTCGAAGCGGCGTCCTACAAAAGTCAGTCAACACAGCAAAGTGTGACGTAACCGGAGGGAAGAACGGAAAACTACTAGTTGGTCAGTCAAATAATGTTAACTTTTGCGAAAAGAACGCGGCCTTTAACAGTTTAAAATTGACAGGATGTGACGACATACATAACATACTACAAAAGAATTATAACAGTGAACTGTTAAGTCATAATTCGTTTAAATTATTGAAGAAATAAAATAATAACAATAATTTATTTTCTCAGAATCGATGCAAAATTGCTGCATTTCACACTTTTTGACAATGACATCATATATTTCTAGCTTTTGCTGTATAACATTTTGTCCTCAGATCTGCACAATGATAATACTAATTACCCGAGATTAAATCTGTCACATAGAAAGGAGGATGTTTTGTCGTCAAAAGTGAATCCTGGATCTCCAACCATTCCCCAAGATCCGTCGTGAAATACTTCGACGGGGCCTTCGTCTTTATACCGATTCATTTTTGCCATTCGAATAGCTAAATTAAAAGAAAATGTTATTAAACTGATCAGTCGAATCAAGTCGGCAGTTGCTTGTCGGCAGTTGGTTTTCTTCCTCTTTTATTTTCATAGTTTTCAATGGTATATTTAGGGTAGAAACACTTGCAGTGATACAAAGTGATGTGTGGCGCCAGAAATGTATGTGGCCTGTACTTAATGAAGGTCAAGCACCTAACACAGTTTTTGCTGATCATGGACGTGTCACCAGTCATGAACTAAAAGAGTTAAGTTTGAAGCACAAAGTGGTGATTACAGCGGTCAATGACCACCTTACTAAACCACTGATATCAGCGATAATTTATCATCACCAAGCAAGTTATATAATTAAATCACTTAGGTTTAATTGTAGAAAATTGGGTGTCAAACACTATTTTCTTTTGATGTTTCTGTCGTTGGTGGTTTGTTTTTGATTTACAGATAGTAAAGTCAGATTACCTTTGCAAGTGACAGAAGCTGCAAACAGACACTTAGAGGTCAAATTTTGAGACCGGTCACACTCGGACAACGAATATTCACAGCCAGTACACGACAATTGTTTACTGTATATAGGATTAACACCTGCCTCACTTTTGTCTATACTTATTGCACCACTGAAATATTATGAAATACATAATACACAACTGAAAAAGTAATTTACACTTATGGCATCACTTAAATAGTATAATACACTAATTGCATCATTGAAATAGTATAATATACTTATTGCATCCCTGAAATAGTAACATTTGTTTATTACATCATTGAAATAGTATAAAATACTTATTGCATCACTAAAATAGTATAATATACTTATTGCATCACTAAAATAGTATAATATACTTATTGCATCACTAAAATAGTATAATATACTTATTGCATCACTAAAATAGTATAATATACTTATTGCATCATTGGATTAGTATAATATACTTATTGCATCACTAAAATAGTATAATATACTTATTGTATCACTTAAGTAGTATAATATACTTATTGCATCATTGGATTAGTATAATATACTTATTGCATCACTGAAATAGTATAATATACCTATTTATATATGTGCATGTACTTTGTACAGCCAAGCATGCCGACTGCTTTGATGTACCGAGTATTGTTCGGGTATTTTTTCAAATAAAGGAATCTTTATCGATACCAAACGGAGCGCTGCGTTTCGGGAATCATCCCGAGTGGGGGAAAATGATGAAGGTGAGAGGGTTTAAGTTCTTACTCGTATCCTAAGTGGTTACACACAACATTTGCAGCATTCATGTCTAAGCTGTCATAACACAGGGAGTACGTGTTACCATCTAACGATGCTTCTATAAGCCCACTGTTTTGTGTTGGACCACCAGTTATCTGGGCATCTGATTAAAATGTAACATATTTTAATGTTTTATTTTCTTTCTATAACATTAGGTTTATATTTAACTTCATAAATGAACTGAAATGCTACAAAACAAAAATGAACCTTCTAGACAACAATTGATTTGTCCAATATAAACAAATTGAATATAATTGATAAGAAACTAAATCCTTGGACTATTCTACGATTTGTTTGTTCTCTAACTGTGTTCTTCAAATATGCCTTACGTAAGATCTTACGATAAAAAATTCAAATAATTAATATGTAAGTCAAATGTACACAATAGTTTGAAAATTTGATAATGCAAGTAATTTTAATACAAGGTTATCTTTTGTCGACAAACTTTAGTGACGACAAACTTTGTTGTTGGACATTGATATGATGAGATATATATATATGTAATTATGTACTAACCTACGCAAAACAACCTTGTACCGTGTCTATAGGCCCAGTCAGTTTTGTTAGTGTAGTAGTCTTGTTTCCATTTGTAAGGAAAATGGCATTGATCTATCACAGACTCGTGACCATCACACACTAGATTGTTTGTCCATACAACCCCATCATAGTTGTCTATGGGAGTCCATCCGGAGCTATATCCAAAGTCGCTGTAAAATTGCATGCATTTCATATACTTTTTCTGGCTTAGGATCATATCAAAAGTAATAGCACATTAGTCATATGTTAAGTAATAGAAAGAGCACCGAAACACGAGGCTATCTGATTTGTACGAGGGGGTGTAGCCCCCGAGTATTAATCATATTGCCGAGTGTTTTGATGTTCTTTCTCTTTTGTATCATAGTCAAACATAAAAACATGGTCCCTGTTGTCACAATATGAAACCCCGGCAACCAATGAAAGAACATCTGAATATGATATTTCTGTCGCTTTCCCTTTCTCTGCCGTCTCAATATTTTAACCTCAGCAAAAATGAGCAAATCAATGGACATGCTCTGGAGTATGGGTAACTTATACCTGCACTCCAGTTAACGGACTGTGCATGTATATGTATACGATTTAACTGTGACACATTTTCAACAGAAGGTTCCCAAACTATGATACAAACTATATGTTAAGCTTGCATAACTGAATCAGGTACACCTCTTGTAACTGAGGTGTTGCCTTTTAGATGCGACTAAATGGGTTCGAATTACTGGAGTATATGCATGTCTTAGCTTCAGCAGATGAGGTGGTTTTGACCCATAGTGTTGCTTTAAGTTTGTAACACCCGAGGCTAGCCACAATCATCCTTCCTGTTTCAGCGCCATGTGACCTATATTATGTTGGTTCTCCATAAAACCTAAAAAATACTGAATCAGGTGCCTCAACTATTTATTTTACCTTCTGTAATTACTGATAAGGCCTTTTCTGTTTAAATTCAATCTCGCACATACTATATATTTCTTCCTGCGACCAAACTAAAGCACATATCAAATATTTCGTCCAGACATAACGAAAAAATAAAATACTGTCCACATCTGCGGTAAAATATACTAGGGATGATCAAGTATTACCCGGAATTTGTATATAATTCTGATAAATTTAATCATTTATTGATTAATTTATACCTTCGAACAGTTTGATGTTTCTTAGGGCGCCAAAACGCTACAGTGGTGCACCTCAAAAATGCGACTGAGCGGTAAAGCAAAACGCTTTAAAGAAAATTGGATTTCATCAAAGATTTTCCGGAGCTTGGTGTAAAAATCGAAAAACCTGATACTTAATTTCAAGTCATTTAAACTTACGATACTTCAATGTAACAGGTTTTTTTTTTGCCTTGTTCTCTTTCTTCTTTTTTTCGAAAACGGCGTCATTAAAGCGTTTTAAAAATATGGACACGTGTTATAAGACATCAATCTAATATTGCGTACAGCGGCGAATACTTTGGAAGATTTTGGTATGTTTTTTATCACCGTTTATGACGTTGCGAAAACGTTCAGTCTGTGCCGTATGCACATTGCTATTTTGCTGGCGACAATATTGTGTTAATAAAAGATATTGAATTATAGCTTAATTCCAGGTAAGTATTTATCATTCTCGTAAAATACCTTAACCCCAAAGTCTTGCAAAGTAACGCAGACGTGACGTCTGTAAATCTGTAAGAAGGGCTGCCAATAAGTCCCCACGTGTTATCGTGATATACTTCGACAAAACCTTCATTTCCTCGTGCATTTACTGGCCATAACCGTATTTCAATGCCTGTTTAAAAAGACAACATTTTAAATAGCATAAAACTTATAAAAAATGCAATTATAAGTACAGTCGATACAATTTAATTTTAGAATGAATCTTTTATCTAAGCATGGTAGTAAATTGTGACAAAAATAAAATATTTTTCGAAGCCTTGCAAATTAAACGAACGAATAAAGTCCTGTGATTCCCCCACTCCAACAAAAATATTACAATTTTACAATATTACAAAAATTTAATTAAAAACGAAAAATAGAAAACCGATGTTTCCCGTTTTAGCTCGAAGGAAATCAAATTTGTCTCAAAACATCTTTTGTCTATAACTTATAACGACAATGCTCACTGGGACGTTCTATTTTAACAAGTGAAACTGTTAGTGTTTTTCAGCATATAACAAGGCTTCAAAGGTTCTTTTAGCCGCAGAATATACGTTTCTTTATAAGATATGATCAAAAATATAGAAAAATAGACATACCTGATAAGTAGCCGAAGTTAATCAAACTTATACCTAGAATGAAATACAGTCTCATCTTAACAAGTAAAGTGTTAAGTGTATACTAACTGTAACTCAAATTAAATGAAGATTATATGTATATATATTATACGAGTATAATACAAATTTCAGATGTGCTCAGTAACGTAGCTATTTATTAACATTAGGTTATCAAAGTCTTAAAATGTCATTAAATATTTAAAGAGACCTAGATGAACTCCGATAACATTAGCATATCATGGCGATATCCATATACTTAGTTCAAGCTTAGAACAATAACTTATGGTCTTGACCAACCCTTTTGATGTCTTTAATTTTTCACAGACACCTTAATTAAACTTTGTGAACATAGAAAACAAAAACAAAAAGATTGGAAATTTCGGCAATCTGTAATTATAAAAAGAAATTAACTTATTAAATATTTTAATATGTTTTACTGATTAAGACGCATTACCATCAAATTCCAAGTCAATCGTTTATGACAATAGCATATTCAGATTAAAAATTGGGCGGGGAATTAAGATCCATCATGGTAAATGTACGTTCTTCACAATTATGTGTATATTCTTATCACAGGTCATATTGGTAAATTAACGGAACGTTGAAGCTTTATTAAATGCTGTCCCAGATCAAGGACAACCTAATGCGCATTGTGTTTACATTTTCAAGGTTAATAAAACCAGAAGTACATTTTATCAAATAATTGTTTCGTGCACTAGTGAAAAAAAAGCCAAATTATATATAATATTTGCCGGTGATTCAACAGTATTGAAGTAGGAATATTGGAGCCACTCGACAAGAAAAAAATAGATATTAACAAAGAACACCATTAACATGCACATACAACAACAATGTCGTCCCAGACGATCCTCAATGATCGAAATTATAACATCTTTGATACAGGTGATGTTGATGAGCCTTTTTCTGGCTTCTTCTAAAAAATTGTAGTCCTGAGTCCCTCTTACTTCTTATCATGTTTTACGTTCAAGGAATGTAAGTCAAGAAGTATATTTCTATAAGCTTACTTTTACTACGCTTGTGAAAATATATATATGATCATTTTTTGTGAAAGCACCGTTCACAAATGAAAACAAAACGGTATTCTAAATTAAGTAAACATTATATAAAAAGTTGCAGTATAAAGATTATGAAATTCATGTATTGCCATAGGCAGCGGTTTTAAGAATTGTGTATTTTTAGCAAATAACTTTTTTTTCTTTCAGCAGTTACATTGTGTGTTTTATATGTATTGTTTTATTTTAACATGTTGTAATTCCTCAAATGATGTCATAGTGAAATAAAAAATTCTATCCGATTTTTAATTAATGATATAATTGATAGTTTGTTGTTTAACCCACCACAAAACGGATACGTATCTTTAGCCGCAGTAATGAGTTATTTATCTATTTGAATACATGTAATTTATGACAATTACGACCTATGTTTATAAAAATAATGTTAATGAATAGTGTTGTTTTTGAGCGCATTTGAAAATTTAATTTCATCTTTTTACTTTTATACTTTACATTAATTGAAATGAGAGTGTGCTATACATATAAATCTTTAAAATAAACAATAAAAGATAAGAGAAATATTAGAGATCTTACTACGAGGGTTATCTAAATATTTCTATTTCCTTATGAGCACCCGTTAATCTATGCAAAAAACCCTGCTGACCCTGAATTGCGTGACAAATGAAAATAAAACTGTTTCTTTAAATAACGTCCAAATTGATTTGTAAAATAATAATGTTACTTCAGTTTCAAATACATGCCTGTTACAAGTAGCACGGGCATTAAAAAGTAAGCTATATCAAATTATATTTCTATTACTGAAACAGATTTAAAGAAGGTATTTCATGAGTTGTGTGATACATTAAAGATCCTGTATGTTTTGTGATCTTCTCACTTCCCCTCGGAGCGTGCACGTCGCTGAGAAGGCACAGGGCACCGGCAGATGATTGAATGATTGTGTACGTTTAAGACGGCAAGTTCGCATGTTTTCTTCTACTCGGGGTACGTTTAAGGCCGCACGACCTAGATAGACTGCATGAAGTTAGCTGCCGGTGTCCTGACAAATGCCGAGGGGAGTGGCCCTACAAAGTAGGCTGAGACGACGAGGACGGTGTGCTAGGGTGCGTGAGCCCCTAGTACAGATAGACGGCTTGTAAGGCAGGCCTTTTGCTGGCGCCAACAGCCCTTTTCAGGGCTAACCTTTCCTATTGTCACAGGTTACTGTACATTAAGGTTCTCAGTGACCGCCGTACAGTGACCTACTTTTGGCTCAAAATTCATATCTTTGGCTAATACTCCGAGGTAAATTATCACCACTTTGTGCCTCAAAATTAACACTTTAAGGGCATGACTTGTGACATGTCCGGGGTCCGTAATCGACAGCGAAAGCTGCATTTTGTGCCCGAAAGGGCGGATGGACCCTCATTAAGCATTAACTACATACATACGGTATACACACAGTAACAATATATCATGATGATGAAGTTAAAGCTTAATAAATGTCTGCTACGGTATAAGCACGGGTTAGTACGAATAAGTACGGTCTGATACGGAGAAGAACGAATTGATGAGGAGAAGATCGAATTGCCACGGATCGATACGGACCTATTATATCCGTCCACAACCTCTTGCATGCTCATTTTCAAAATGCCTCACAAGAAAAGAACACCTAGAAAACGAAATAATAATCGTCGCCCTAATTCCAGAGTGTCGTAACTCCAATTTTGAAAAAAATGAGTGTTTGGTATCAAAATGTTCGTAATTTTTTTCTCTATCTAATGGTAAGAAAAACATCACTCTGGTTCTTGCCTGTAACAATATATTGAATGGGTCAGAGTGCTGTAAGTCCAAAAATTGTGATAAAAATACAGTCCATAATATCGTAACTTCTGAACCAATAGTTTGTTAAGATTCTAGTCACGTGATGCTGTTTCGACAAAATGGCAGATTTTTCAAGGTATCAGGAATGACATTTTACGTTTTATATATCTCGATAACATGTAAGTGTTTTGCTTTAGATGTTATCTAATTATCTATAGATTAATATTTTATTGAACTGTTTCAAACCTTAAAAAGAAATAATAACTACTCTTAACCCTTGAGCTAAATTCAAAGCACCATGCTGTGTTATGAAATTCGGATAGCATGGAAATCGGATAAATTGATACAAACTTTCAATATTCACAAGTATCAGCTGTTAATAACTTGATATGTGATTGATTATATGATTGATTGATCAATGTTACCATTAAATACGGACAATCAGGTTTTGCATAAGATTGTTTATACTTTTAACTTACAAACACAACTCATCAAATAGAAACATACTACTGCCATTGTTACATTTTGTACAATGTGTTTCTTTAACTATATCAGACAAATTACCGTACTGGTGCTAAGTGATTCGAATAAAATTTACACATATAACTTTACCACTCATAACTGATGTTAAATTAGGTTAATCATGTTTATTTCATAATTCATAATTTCATAATTTTCATAATTTCAAAATTCTGCACTTTCATTTAACGATCACAAAAATATCAAAGGTTTTGCTGTCCACGGCATTATGCAGTCCAGAGTGGTTAACAATACCAACTGTCATATAGAAAGAAAGACAAAACACTTTTAAAATGGCAGAAGTGTTCAGTCCTACATCACTCGTTTGTGTTCTTAAAACAGTACGTCCAAACGTATAAGCCTATATGGTGGGTTAAAGTTGATAATATCCCTATAACAAAAGTTTAAAAGCTGAGACCGAGTTGTCTCAGATGCACCATTTAGCGTTGAATAAGAGACGTCATTTGTACAACAAATACTTATTAAACAGAATGCCTACCCTGTTGACATACTCAGCTATTTTGCATAAATCAACAGGGTGTCAGTCTATACCTTTTTGTCAACATAATCATTTTCAATCGTATGCTAAAATTTCTTATGTAATTGGAACATGCAAAGCAAAATTAATCTAAGTTTCTACGTTAAAAATAATTCTTGTACATCTACTTCCAACTCGTAAGGTAATACTACCTGTAATTAATTATCAAGTGATTTGAACCTTTGAACTGAAAATTATCCATTACCAAAACTATTTTTAAAAAGAAAAAAAAATATGCTTAGTTAAAAAATTGTCATTCGATTGAAACGAAGAAAAAATGATTTTGTGAAAAAATGTTACAAAGTCTTAAGACCATATAAAACATTAGGGATTTTTAAATTGTCATATTTGTTTCATCAAACGTTTGTTGAAGTAAAATAGAATTAATATTTGACTGAAACTCTTAGATATTGAGCATTGCTTTTATACGAATGAGTTGTTGATGTAAACTGTTCAGTTAAAAAAATTAAAAGCAAACGTATACTTAATTGTTATTGTATGTAAAGAAGTTGTATGCCACTTGATATATTAAAATACATGTAGTAATTGAAGTACAGTAGTTCATTGAAACACCATATCCAAATCTGTAGCATCTTTGAAAATTTGTGAGCTTTGAGTTGTGTTTCATATTTTTCTCTTTTTTTAAACAAAACATTAAGTAATGCTGTTCTTAGAAAAGTAAAACAAATAGGTTTATTCTTTTTCATGTTTCAAAGAAAGGAACTCATTGTTGATGTTGTTTTTCAAAGTTGAAGCAGTTACATCTTTCAAACATTTTTGTATGTTTTGTAAGTCAAATTGTGTTCAACATGCTGTTTGTATGCAAGTAACAGGTATTCAAAATTGAATTTGGAATGAATTAATGATATAATAAACGAAACCAAAATTAAATCTGAATTCCAAATATTTTATAGTGTACAGTGTTAATGTGAAAATAGCACATCATATGATAAAAGTTTTGCTTTTTAATGTGGTAAATATCAATACAATGACGATGTTTCTAAATTTTGATTTCGTTTTGTTTAACTCAATGTGATACATTTACAAAATCAGTAATACTTTATTTGTTTTTGTTCATTTGCAAGGCTTACTATTTTATGTAAATGGTCATAAGATAATGAAGCCCGAGTTCAATTTCAACCTTAAAATGCCTGTTCGTGTCTATTCACACCGCATTGTCTGGATTTCTGTTATTGACTTTTAAGACTAAATTTACTGTTTTGACTCTGATCACATTACATGCTCTGTGGTGCCTAAATAAATGTGGATCCAGACTATTCGTTAAAGCATTAAATTTCTAGTTACGTCTAAATTTAATATAATATCAGTATAAAACAGTAAAATAGTCATTATTTCACACTGTTGTAACTCCTAAATGTAATGATATTTTAGGGTCACATTGCTGTAACTTATTACAGCATTCTGGTTCTTGTATTTTTGTCAATAAAATATATTTTTCAGTGATTTTTCATTTCTTTTATTTTGATTTTTTAAAAAACTATCTACAGGAACTTCTTCGTAATTAAAAGTGTAAAAGTTAAAATAATTCTGCACACTATGATGTCTTTTATATTAAAATTGGTTGAGTAAGTGTGAAGATATAGCCTGTTAAATCTTTGAAGTCGATTTTCTCAAAATGGTAAAAATACGACTTACATCATTATGGAATTAGGGCGACCGAATTGCAGAGTTCATAGATTTTGGCGGAGAGGATTCGGCCTCATCGCATCCGATCCCCGAGACATGTCAGGTCCGATTAAAGTGAATTTCTTGAAGGACGCAAAATCCTCAACAAGTTCGGCCATGAGAGCCTCATACTAAACATTAAGGGGTCTTCGTAAAAGCCCATCTCCTATCCACCATCTCGTCTGTCTTCTCTTGCCTGAATAGATATGGACTTAATCATTAATGTAAAATGTTGATCTTTTAATTCTAAATTTTACTGTCCATTTTACAATTACATTAATTATCGTGAATGTTTATGTTTTAAAAATGTGTAAAAAGCTTGCAATTAATCTTATTATCACTCAAGGGCCAGCGTCCGAGGCTTATGAGACACCTCGTTTAATGTACATATTTGCTCCAATTTCACGATCCAATGTTTGTATAATATGTAACATTAAACGTTATTCTATTACTTATGAATTGTAGTACGATACTGATATATTTTTACCTCTATGCATGTCATCAAGCAGCTCGACCACTGACTCCGCATTCTGAGCCATTTCAATATAAAGGTGCAGTCAGTAAATGGTTCCCGCAAATATGTCTGTTTTTAACAAGAAGGTAGTATTTATACCCTTGAAAAAGTACATGATACTTAATTTATCCGTTCTAAACAGTAGTGGTCCGTACCATTCCGTACCGTTTTGTGTTACAACGTAATAAACCGTATAAGACCGTGCTAATCCTTGCCTCTCCGTAGTACAACGTATTACGACCGTAGCTGTCCGTGACAATGCCGTATTAATCCGTATTAAACCCGTAGCTTATACGTATGGTAATCGTACAAATACGTAGTTCTCCGTACCAAACCGTGAAAATCCTTGACAAGTTGGTGGACTACGAATCAGAACGGACTAGTACGGTTTTTGTACGGACCAGTAAGTATAAGTACGGTTTAATACGGACTATCAGGGAATCGCTACGGGTGATTTTTCCGTAGAAAATTTTTGTGCATGTTCAAAAATTGTCAAGTACGATTGATTACGGTTATACTACTGACCAGAACGGGTAGCTACGGACGATGCCGGAATTAATCCGTGGCTCTTTCGTGGACGTATTCCGTGAATATGTGACCGGGGTATTATTAATTTGTTGTTATAAACCACAACGCGGATGTTGAAAACTTATATAATGAGGTGTGTACCTGTTTAAAAACAGTTGCTATATAATAGTTAAACCTACAATAGTAAGATATCGTTAATGAATATTGGATATATAGAGCGCATTTCGAAATTAAAATTCGTCTATTCACCTTAATTCTTAACGATTATTGAGATGAGACTGTGTTATTGTCTAGGTATTATTTTGATAAACTTTGGCTACTTATTAGGTAGGTTCTTTCACTTTTATGTTTGTTAATTTAAATATGGAAACGCATCTTTTTTGTGCCCCATGTGCCTATGTCTGGGCTTAACCAGGTGGATAGTTTTCCTTGAGGATGAACTGTACCCTTGTGAAAACTACTTTATTGTACTAAGATCAACCTTACGTTTTTCAAAAACATTTTTTTTTAAGTTTTACAAAAGATATATGAAAGAATAAAATGAAAAAAAGAGGTTTTAACATAACTGTATAGCTGAATTGGTTTTCCTACGTAACAAATCGCGCTACTTAATTTCTTCCGGTTTTGGTTTATTTTTATTTGTTCTTTTTTTCTTTTATTTCTTCATATTTTAAGAAATTCTGAAAAATAGCAGCGCTGTTAACACAAGACTTTAGTCAAATGATTTTTAATTTTCTGTTTCATTCCAAATTCGACTACGGTGCCGATGAAGTTTCCTGTACGATTATATTGTTGACTTAGCTCATACTAAGTGAGAAATATTTTTAAACAGGTCTTGAAGTACGATTATGGCCGGTTAATGCACGAGGAAATGAAGGTTTTGTGGAAGTATATCACGATGACACGTGGGGACTTATTGGCAGTCCTGAATACAGATTTTCAGACGAGACGTCTGCATTGTTGTGCAAGACATTAGGAATAAGGTATCTCTGATTTATAGTAACGAATCTGAATATTACATTGATATTTTGATTAAGTCTCGTTCTCACATTTGCTGATCGAATTGAAATATATAAGTACCAAAATGTATTTGGCGAGCCTCTGGCGATCAATAAATAGTATTGAAACTATATGAATATAATATCACATATCCAAATAAAGAACATAAACCTAACAATCAAAATTGTTTTTCATTGCCATGGTTTTGGGAAACACTTAAAAACGCGTGTCTATACCATGTGCATATATATAACGCATATGACGTCACGTAAAAATATGTGCACGCCCTTGCCATATCGTTTATACGGAGTGGCCAAAACCACACAGGCATGTGATAACTTTGTGAAATTTTACTGGTATCAATCTCAATGTGTATATATTGAAAAATAGGTTATGCTGTTTTTGACAAGACAGATAAAATACATATCTTAAATAGATAAAGCAGACTGTGGCATTGTTATGTATGGTTAAACATATGACTTGTATGAAATCAACTTTTGTCTATAATTATATAAACATGAATGTGAGCAAAAGGCTATTGAACTGTATACAATATTAACAGCGACTTTGGATACAGTTCCGGATGGACTTCCATAGACAACTATGGTGGAGTAGCATGGACATACGGTCTAGAGTGTTATGGTAACGAAACAGTTTTAGACCAATGCCATTTTCCATACAAATGGAAACTAGATAGCTACACAAACAAAACATACTGGGGCTATAGACACGGTACACGGTTGTTTTGTGTAGGTAAGTACGTTATCATATGTTTAATGTATCGTTGTCAGGGGCGTACCTCGGCTTATTATAAGTGTACGCCGAGTGCCTTTTTTTGGCCGAAGGATCGCCAGAGACTTATATATCAAATAAAGCTGTGAGCTATAACTAAGGATAAAGGGGATATTCAAGCTAATTGTACTACTATTGTCTTTATCTGTATGTATGAAAATAACATCAAGTACATATATTGAATGTAAGAGAAATAGCACGAAGTATAACGTGTACACTGTTTTAAATAGTTCAAAGTTATTTGCTTTAAGAAAAACAAAACATAGCCAGGTATCTCTCTTGTAAAAAAGATGGGGTTTATTTCTTTTTGAAACAAGTTTAGTTTTTTCTTTGTTTTTTTTCTTTTGTTTCACCATAACTTAACGTGAGATATAATCAAGGAAAATATGTTTTAAAAATGATCTGTATGACTTTAATACAAACACAACAGCTTAAATGTTTAGTGTAACGAGATTTTATCGTATTCGCACCTAAAATGTAGTATCGCACGATCATTTAGCTTCCTTAAAAAATCTTTTAATGCGTATTATGTCAATGTTGTAGACAATAAATATTTTCTTCAACATTTTTGTTCTCAACTCTAGTCTTTCAATTTCCATTCGAAATATTTAAGTTATTTCATTACGAAGTGTATATATATTACTAACTTAAAAATAATTTACTGATTTATAGTTACAATGTAAAATATAAAAAGACATTCCATATAACTAACTCACTCCCTTCCATTGTGCTGCAAACGCCAAGTTGCAAACAAGATCTTTATTTTGCATATAGATCTAGATGTAAAAAATGAAATAAATGTTTACTTTTCACTGATTCGATTCTTCTGAAAACAATGATTGTAATATATTGGGCAATTTCTTATCCTTTTTGGATTTTGACGAGGTTTATTATTAGCATTATAACGCTTAACTCAAGCTGAAAAAAGAGAAAATTCCACATATCATATTTTTACTCCCTTTCTTCATAATTAAAGTTTTGATTGTGCATAAAAAGGTAACGCATATTCTGTAGTACCTGTAGTATCAATTAGCAGCTACGAATATGTTGATTGATCTTCGCCCAAATTAATGATTTCATTTTTGATTTTTTTTTTCGAAATTTTTTTCTTTTTATACGCCCGAGCGTGTTGGCGTATCGGTAGGTACGTCACTGGTTGTCTTGCAGTTTATCTTCAAGGATCTGTATAATTTAATTACAAGATTAATAGATTATTTAATTTACAATTATAAAATGATGAGTCTTTATGAATATTCTATTGCAATTAGATTGGTAAAAATAGATCGCAGTAACGTGTATTTCTGAAAAAGTGCGAAAACAATCATTGCTTGTAAACTTGTTACAAGTGGTTTCCAGTGACCATACAGGAAAACGAATATTAACACTTATATATTTTTTTATTTTTCACGATGCATTACAAATATTGAATTTCGTTAAAACGGTTAAATAATGTTATACACTCTTGCCATTTATGTGTGTTACTGTTTGACGGACTGTTTGAATCGGATTTGCATATCATAATTGTCATTGTTATGGTGTAGCATTCTTTATAACAGTCCAGCCGGTGTATTTTGAAAACGTTTCAGTTTATTTAAGTAATTGAATTCAAATTTCATACATAAAAAGAATCGCGAAAAAGTATATTTAAATATGATTTTGTATCCCATTTAGATGCCCAGATAACTGGTGGTCCGACACAAAACAGTGGGCTTATAGAGGCATCGTTAGATGGTAACACGTACTCTCTGTGTTATGACGGCGTAGACATGAATGCTGCAAATGTTGTGTGTAACCAATTAGGATACGAGTAAGAAAATAAATCACATGCCTTCTCTCCCTCATCATTTCCCAACAAGGGGTGATTTTTACCTTAGGGATATAACCTGATTATTGAGGTAATAAATATATTGTATCAAAGTTTGGGGACATTTCTGTTGAAAATGTGTCAGAGTTAAATCGTAGACATATTCATGCACAGTGCGTTAACTGTAGTGCAGGTATTAGCTACCCGCACTCCAGAGCATGCCCATTGATTGGCTCATTTTTGCTGGGGTTTACATATTGTGACAGCAGAGAAAGGGAAAGCGACAGAAATATCATATTCAGATGTTCGTTTATTCGTTCCTTTCTGTCGGGGTTTCATTTTGTGACAACAGGGAACGTGTTTTTTATGTTTGACTATGATACAAAAGAGAAAAGAACATCAAAACACTCGGCAATTCTGATTAATTACTCGGGGGCTACCCCCCCTCGTACAAATCAGATAGCCTCGTGTTTCGATGATCTTTCTATTACTTATACTATACGTAAATTATACTATTTTCAAGGGGGTTAATAAACATATACTATTTTCAGTTGGATATATAGACATATTATAATATTATTCAGTGGGGAATATAAATATATTTGATACTATTTCAGTGGGGTAATAAACATATTATACTATTTTCAGTGGGGTAATAAGCAAATTATACTATTTCATTGGGATAATTAATATATTACTAGGATACTATTTCAGTTGTTTAATGAGCATATTATACTTTTTCAGAGGGGTAATTTATATTTTATACTTTTTCAGTGGGTCAATAAGCATAGCACATTTCAGTGGGATAATAAACATATAATACTATTTCAGTGGAGCAATAAGTATAAAAAGAAAAGAACCTGGTGTGTATCCTTTATACAGGAAAAAATTATCGTGCACTGGTTGTGAATATTCGTTGTCCGAGTGTGACCGCTCTCAAAGTTTGACCTCTAAATGTATTTTTGCTGCAACTGTCACGTGCAAAGGTGAATCAATTTTTTAACGAATGTTATATTATTATTTTGCTTACCTTTGGGTAAAAAAAACCTTCAGAAATTTATTGAACTTTAGGAAATTCTAACAGACTTTATCTAATGTTAAAGATTCTGTATGTTGTAATTAAGGTTGATATGTTACCACACTGAAGTGAAATTTTATATATGTATATAATAATGCTTCTAAAATAATTTTAAAGCATTCTAATTGAAAGGAAATAAATTTCTTATTCCCTCTCTTTATTAACATGAAATGTAAATTCGGTAATATCTTTACAAATAATGCTTTTTGGAACTTGCAATATTGATAAATCTTCATTTGAGCATTATATTTATGATATAAAACCATAAAAAATTGAGTTACAGGATCTTTAATATTAGAATGCACCAACTATGATTTTGAAGCTGCATTCCCTATAACAGGTCAAGTTGATTGCCGCCCTTTATAGAAAATTGCAACTTTTTAAATGCCATTACATATTTGTTCCAAGACTTGCACTGTAGTAGTATAAAAGATGCAAGGTTTGTTTGTTTGTTTATTCGTTTGTTTGAGCATAATTATTCTAATATATAATTTTTTAATTTAGCTGTTCGATTGGCAAGGATGAATCGGTATACAGACGAGGGTCCTGTTGAAGTTTTCCACAACGGGTCTTGGGGTATGATCGGGGATCCAGGATTTAGATTTAATGACGAAACAGCATCTTATCTATGTAACAGATTTAATCTGGGGTAATATAATTATTGTCAAGATTCAAAGAAAAAATGTTGAAATAATAAATTTTTTTGTGATATACATTTATTTAAAAAATGTATGCCATGTCGTTATTGCTATACAAACAGTTTTGTTTCATTTTAGTAACGTTGGATTCAGTACAACAGGTAACTTATTGCAGACCTATGGCAGAAAGGCGTGGCTTAGTTCTTTGTCTTGTTTAGGGAACGAAAAAGAAGTTATGGAATGTAGCCATTCTCGTTTCTCGACTGTGCCATCGTTACAGCATACGTACAAAAGGGGGACATGGTTGTACTGTTTTGGTGAGTATATAAATGCAAGAATAAGAAGTACAATCAAACAAGTGTTTTGGGTGTTGCTTTCATTTAATTACGCCCTTCCTTGTTGATCTTGTTTTTTTTTTCTCATATTTTACCGACCAAAAGTCAAAATGAACCAACTTTTTAAAAAGACATATCGATGGACAGTCCTTAAAGATCATGAGGCTTTTTTTATAGGAAATGATGAAAGAGTAATTTTAAAGAAAAGATAATTATCACTTTTCTTTACAGTTTTTTTACACAATTTTTACTTCATAAAAAAGCTATTTGGTATAGTTTTGTCATCTTAATGCGCGCCTTATTTCCTCATTTCAACTTTTTTCAAAATATTTTTATTTAGATGCTTTATGCAAGACTTTAAAAATGATCCTTGCAATTCTAAAATTTAAATCAGAATAATTGCAACTGATTGACTTCCTTTGTGTATCTCCTTTTGTTTTTCTAATTCGGAGTTAAATAAGGAATAAAGGAACGGGTTCCTTTTTCCTTATTCAACTTGAAATTGATTCAAAATATTTTAATGCAGATACGTTATTTAATGATCTTGATGATTGATTATTGCAATTCTAATTCAGGTTTATCAGAAATAATTGCAAATGCTGTACTTTTTATCTTTGCGGATCTTCTTCAATTCCTTTTTCGAAATTAAATAAGTAATCAGGAACTGATTCCTTAGTCCTTGTTCGACTTGAACATGTCTTCAAAATTTCGGCTGGATTTTTTGCAATGATTTTAAAGATTTATTTTTGCCCATTCTAATGCAGATTTATAAGTAAAACGTTAGTGCAGTTGCTGTCTCTTCTGTTCCTTTTTCAGGGTTTCAGTGTGGTTCTAGTTTGCTGATCAACCATAAATAGTTTTAATATAAATAATTATTCTCCTGTTCCTTATTTAGATATGAAGAAGGAATCAGGATCTGGTTGCCTATTCCTTATCTGAAAAAGGAATTATTCGAAGAAGGAAAAAAAACTGGTTCCTTATTCCTTTTTCAAATCTAATAAGGAAATTCGAAAAATATTTGAAAAAGAAATAAAGAAAACAGAATAAGGAACTTACTTTATTTACTTGCCAAAACATGGCCTCGTTGCTTTAAATGTTTGGGGTTTTTTCAAATCACATGGGTTTTTTTTGTCAGCATACATTCTATGGCAGTTTTTGGCCAATCAAGTACTTGAAAACCTCAAATCCATACTTCATGATATTCATGATTTTTAAACATTTTTTTACAAGCTATATTTGAATATATTTTCATTACTTCTTCTTTTCACAGCAGGGAATGATGTTTCTATTTTACACATTTGCTTTGTTATAACCTATTTTTGAATAGGGTTCGATGTGACTCAGATGCGACTCACAGGGGGCGTAAACCAAAATGAGGGGCGTGTCGAACTCCTTATCAACGGTAGATGGGGTTACATAGCAACACATGGCATAGCCAATATGGAGACAGATAATGCTGCCAAGGTTATCTGTAGAGAGATGGGGTACAGGTAAAACAATTTCTTATAAATCAGATAAACACGAAAAAAACAAAAAAAACAACGAAAAGAAGAATTAGTTAATAAATGAAACATTTAAAGTGTAGATTTTTAGGTATTCTGAACATTAAATGAAAGTACAAAATGTACTAACGGTTGATTATTATAGAAACCTAATAAGAATGTTCATGTCAAAAAGACCACTTCCCTCATGATTTTAATGTTCAGAGAAATGGGAAAAACTCGAGGAATTAAAGTTGATTGCACTTTTTTAGAAATAAGAAAAACATGTTTGGAACTGCAAGGTCTTTCTTTGTTTGGTGTTCTTTTGTGAGTCTGTTTTTCCTTTTATTGTAAGCGTCGAGGCAGTGAAACCAGGGAAACGGAATCCCTAATGAACACTCATGCAGGCTCGGTTTGTTTGACCTTGTTTATGGTATATGTGAAAGCTACCGTCCATGTCGGCCATCTAGATCCAGCTTAAGCGAAACTATTCTGTTAAATCTGTTATCCAAATTTTGTAATTAAACATTCATATGATTTAGTGATAAATATAGCAAAGCCTGTTATGTTTTTCAAGATGCGTTCAAACATTTCACAGGGCGGGAAATACTTATCAAACAATGTTTGCATATATTTCTTATATTTTAGTTTTTGGATGCGTTTCATAGAAAGTCCAATGTGTATCATAAGCCTTGGGACATAATACCAACTTAAGATCATTTTAAATTCAGTATGTTAATGTGCATCAACATTGCTACAAAGACATTAAAGATGTCATAACATATGGATCTTAAGTTATGACATATTCTTTGAAACACAAAATGGTCACAGTTTTGGTCTTTAGACTGATTTCAGACAAAGACTATGTAAAGCAACCCTAGAAGATTAAATCTACACATCAGGAGGGTTGGAGGTTTGCCCCTTTTAAATTATGATCATATGGAACTGTAATTATCTGTTTAATATAAATACTTTCCAAACAGTTACTTTATGATATGATCTTATCGTTGTAGTGGACAGGGTTCGGTGCTTTCCGATGGAAACCATGGTCGGAAACATTGACCTTTTTTCTGGTTTTGTCTTTATCTAAAAATTGCAACGGCAACGAAAGAAGTTTAGCAAGCAGTGGCTGGTTTTTTATAAAGGATCGGGGCTGCCTAATGACGTACGAAACCCCCCTACCCACTTAAGTACGATCGCGTGGTAAATTATTTTTCAATTAAAACCCTTTATCGACTTTATTTGTTTACCCAATGGGACTTGTCGATTTGTCCTATAGGTAATTTTTAATTTTTAAAAAAAAACGGTTTTTTGAATAAAAAATATAATAGTCCAGCAACAAACAAGAAAAGACTGGAGAACAAAGATTTACAATGAAAAAGACGTTCACTGAATGCTACTCCCGACAAAAGCCAGAAACACAGGACCACCAGAAAGGAACCCAGTGGGTCACCGGACATAAATAGGAGAAGTTGGGCCAGACTCTACATATGTCCAGCATTCATAACTCTGTAGGAGCACATTTGTCTCGGAGCACATTTGTCTTACGTAAGACCGATGCGGTCGCATTTGTCCAACATGAGATAAATGGGACCCCAATTGTCTACCCCAAAACACTCATTTGTGTGACAAAGGGTCATTAACGCACATTTGTTCATGTTTTTTTAAGGGACAAGAAAGCACATTTTTCTCGTGTCATTTTTTATTAATAATTTGTCACATATTTTCCCACGTCAAAAATGATTTCGCCGTATTACCCGATGTCAAATTTAATCATCAATAGGTTTGCTAATGCTTTTTATGAAACTTACGCGAGACAAGAAAATCCTTTGAGGCAATATACCGCTAAATAGAATTCCCTAATATATAAAACTGACATTTTTCAAAGAGCTACAAAACATAGCTAGACCCATTTTACAGAACAAATACTTATTTCATTTTATACAGCTATGATTAGGGTTAGAGTGAGAAAAGTAGGGGTCATGTATCTTCTAAGCAAAATTTCTAGCGTCACACTTGTTACTATAAAATTACTTAAAATTGCACTGCTGTGACGTGGAAGAACCAACAATACTAAAATTAAAATTCACTTTATCAAATACATCGTTTGCTCGCATTTTTGCTACTAAAATGTCAAAAGCATATCCATGGTGAAATTTAAACAGAAAACAGCTTAAATTTAGACGTCTATGGCCATGCAGAGTTAAAAGGTAGTGTTGAATAGCCTGTCCACCATTACGCGACAAGGCCAGATGCCGCCCACGTTGGTTCCTTTACAAAAGTCAGGTCTTTTAGAAGCACAGGCACGAAGTAATGCACGATATATTTTACCGAGAGACACGAATGCAAATTTCCGGCAAAACATGAAGCGAGGCACGATATTCTACCATGAAATCTCTCGGGACGGGATACTTTGACATTGCGAGATCTCGTGTTATAATATCGTGCCTCCCTTCGTGTCTCGTCGGAATGTCGCTTTTTGCCCGATTCTGTGAGACCCGATATTCCATAATAATGGCATTATCCGGATCCTTTTTGGAACTCATGCACGTTGTAAGTGCTTTTTCAATGGCGGATCTGAAAGCAGCAATTCTCGGAAAATGGCGATATTATATGTATATATATTTCTATATATTTCTGGTGAAGACAAAATACGTGCGGGATGGTCTTCTCATTTTCACTTAGATCATGTTGGGGCCTCCGTGGCAGAGTAATTTAAAACAAAACACTTGCCCCATAAAGCTGTAGGTTGACACTCACTCCGGGCGTCGAACTATTCATGCGAGGAAGTCTGTCCAGGGTCCAAATGCGGAATACGTATTCGCGTGCGTACGTAATAATTATCGCGTGCGCACGTAATAAATAAATAAATCATATGTCCCTTTCATGCCACCGTGGATAATACCTTGTTGTTGCTTAGAATATTTCTTAAATCATTTATAATATTTTTAGCATCGGAAAGAAACGTGTCGCAATTAATAATGATAAGCATGGACTCACCACATATCTGTTTGGAAGTGACCTAAAATACAGAAAACATAGAACATGGCTTAGAGACGGTATACGGACGGACATAATTATTACCTGAAGAATATGAGACAAATGTGCTTCGAGTGTCTTTTCTATTGTGTGTCGAACACATCTGTCTAATTTTCAATTTGTCGCAAATATGAATTTTTACCAGCACATCGGTCCCACCTCGTGAGACAAATGTGTTCCGAGACAAATGTGCTCCTACATAGCTCTATAACGATGGCACTTTGCGAAGCAACGTAGCTTTTATCAAATGGTTGAGACATTGTATAGAGTGTGGTCCTTATGTAATTCTTATGTAATCTTGTTGTGATTAATGCTTCCGAGTGATCACTTTGTTTCCAGATTCTTATACTTCACAACAGCAGGTGTCAAGTGCCGTCTGGCAGTTGTAAAAAGCTGCCCCGTATTTCACTTCAGTGTTGCTATATTTTTCTGGTCCTTCGGGATCATTGATGCCAACACTATTTAGTATTGAGAATTTTAGTACCGCGAATTGAGTACCGCTCAAGCGAATTGAGTACCGCTCAAGCTGGTGCTAGGGGGCTTGAGGGATGTTGCACTTAATCATTATTCCTCATGTACAGACTCAATCAAACCGAGTCTGCAATTCTTATGGGATCACCTTATTTCCAGATTCTTATACTTCACAACAGCAGGTGTCGAGTGCCGTCTGGCAGCTGTAAAAATTTGCCCCGTACTTCATTTCAGTGTTGTTATATTTTTCTGGTCCTTCGGGATCATTGATGCAAACACTATTAAGTGTTGAGTATTGAGTACCGCTTAAGCCTGTGCTAGGGGGCGTGAGGGATGTTGCACTTAATCATTATTCCTCATGTACAGACTCAATCAAACCGAGTCTGCAATTCTTATGTTATTTTGTTGTGATTTATGCTTCCGAGGGATCACTTTGTTTCCATATTCCTATATAAAAAGTTTAACATTGTCGCATGGAGTGTGGTATTATATAAAAACGTAAAAAGTTGTCGTATGATGTATGTTTTTAGAAGAATTGACTTGAAACTCATACATTATTTTCTAGCTTTGCCTTGAATTTAGTGACCAAATTATTAAAATGATTTGATGGTTTGTTGTTTCAATTGATTATGTTTTATTTGTGTTGTTTCCTTTATTTTCTGTCATCAGGTAGAAAAGGTATCGGATACGAGCCCAATATTTCCGGTTAGTATAGAAGTAGGTGACTTTTGTTATTTTTATTGACCAGAAAATTGCTGATTGTTTTCAATTTCATATTATTTCTCAATAACTTTTAAATAACTACAATATCTACATTTTTACATTCCGGGCGCCCTGTTTAGAGCTAATCTTATTAATATTTACCCGTCACTGACATGATAGGTGTCGTGGAGCACTTGCCTATCAGCCTTGCATACTGATTTATATGTTTTTTTCTTCTTCTTCTTTTGTATTTTGTCTCTTTTCTTTGACAATATTTACTTGATTATATGATTATTATAATTGGATTACGTTTCTTCTATTAGAATAAATGTATTTATAATCCTACAATTTACAACAGGCTTTATTTTCATAGTCAGGTTGTTGTTTCTTCAAAGCATCTTCACACATAGTGTTGTTATGCTTGATTTAGAATTTTCCCGTTCGCGTTTCTTTTCACTTCTTTGAAAGAATGTATGTACTTAAAAAAATATTTCTTTTGAAGTCCGAAATACACTTGTAATAAAGTATACTATTTTTATGTAGGTACCGAAATAAATTCTTGCGGAAACGAATCTCGGTATTTACAAAAGAATAAATCTGATATTGATTCCGGGTTGGAATTTCTTGGAATTCGCTTGATACCAAAAGCCCAGTTTTCGAGAGTTTTATTTTCAATCTGAAAGAACAGTTTATAAAAGATTAACTTTTACAGAGATAAATTACTTTCTCCCATATTAGTATCATTTATTTCCGTACAAAATATGTTACAATTGCGTTCGAATTCTGTATATCATAATGCACAACAATATCTACTTTAAAGTCTAGCAACTGACAATATTTATGACCGACAATAACAAAATACTAGTATCTTCAATTAAATGGACCAAAACACAAAACCTAAATATTGTAAAAGGTAAGCTGTTGAAAAAGATTAATATAATGTTTAAAATATCTTAGCAAACGTACACAAATGCATTGGTTTTCTTTTCTGTATGATTTATATTGTGCATGCAGTTATTGCCACTGTAATATTTCATGTTTTAGTTTATACTGTTTGAAGCAATCTCAGATCTAGATAAATTTTATGTTTTCTTAAATATGGGAAGTTACATTACATTCTTTCATATTTTCAGGCTGACGTATAGGAGGGTTAAAGATCAAAAACACCGACACATGACATTTACATCTGAAACTTATTTACCGTTGAAATAGTTCTTCGTTCAAAAGGAAATAAAATAATAGTATCTAAGGTTTTTCTTATTCATTGGACAAATATTACAAATCAGGTTTGAATATTTGGCAGCAAATGAACAAAAAACAACTTATTTCATAATCGAGCTTGTATAAATATTTTCAAACGTTTATTCTTTAAATCAAAATGTTTCCAATAATTCTTCCCATATTGATAGGCAGTTCTAAAAAATAAAAACTTTCACATTCAGCAGTTTAAGATTATTCTTATCAGTGTCAGAATTGTCAGTTGATCAATCTAATTTTTTTCTTGAAGCACTCACATCACCTTTTCTATATTAAGAAGGATATCTTGTAAAAACGAGATCCCTCGGAAGCATTAATAACAGCAGAATTACATGAAAATTGCAGACTTGGTTTGATAGAGTCTGTACATGGGGGATAATGAAAAAAGAGCAACATCCCTCACGCCCCCTGAACCGGCTTGAACGGTACTCAATTCTCAACACTTAAAAGTGCTAGACTCAATGACCCTGAAGGACCAGAAAATATAACAACACTGAAGTAAAGTACGGGGCAACTTTTTATGGCTGGACACCTGTTGTTCTGGTATATAAATATCTGGTAAAAAATGTCGAGTATAGAAATTAAATGTGTACTTTGGCGAAACTGCCCCTAGGTTATTATTTGCAAACAAAGTGGAGGGGAATAAATCCCCCATATTTACTGCATATAAAACGTTTTCGAAACGTTCATGTTTTGCAAAATTGCAATATTTCTGTTATAAACATGGAATGAAAAGAAGATAAAAAATGTTAAAAATTTAAAAATTTTTCAAAAAAATTTATTTTATGATTTTTTTCCCAGCGAACTTAAAAAAAATGGGGAAAAAGGATACCCGTTTTTGGTTTTTCATTTCTATTGTTTTTATATAAAAACCAAAATTTAAGCATGGGAAAAGTTTTTGTAGACCGGGGGAAATTATTTAAAAAAGTGTAAAAGGTTCAAAAAGAATACATTGTTTGCCATTGGGGAAACCCTAGTGGTTTGTTCTAAAATTTTTTCCGTTTTTTTCAACTGACAAAGAGTCCCGTTTCTTTTTTTATATTTTCAAGGGTTTTTAAAAAATACTTAATTTAAGGGGCCAGAAAACATTAAACATCAAATGAATTGTTGTGGGGCTAGTGAGAGAAAAAAGTCAAATTAAAATTCATAATTTTCCGGTAATTCACAGTATTGAAATGGAAATTGGAGCCCCTCGAACAAGAAAAAAAAAAGATATTACCAAAGAAAAAACCCGGGCATGCCCATACAACAACCCAAAGTCGTCCCCCACGGGTCTTCAAGGATCGGAAAATTTTAACCCCTCTTTTATAAAAATGATGTTGAAAGGTCTTTTTATGGCTTTTTTCTTTAAAAAAAAATTTTCCCGTCCTGAAGGGCGCCTTACCCTTTTGATCATGGTATACGTTTAAGGGGGGCAATATGTCGGGAATTTTTTATTTCTATAATTTTTTTTTTTTACTAAAAAGCGTTAAAAAATATGAAAACAAGTGATATGATATTAATAACCGGTCATTCTTTACGTTCAGTAAAGGTAGATTATATTTTGTGAATGCATCGTGTACAAATAAAAACAAAGATATTCTAAATATGTAAACATCATATTAAAGATTGCAGTACAAGTTTTATGAAACTCATGTATTTCCAAAGGCAGCGATTTTAGGAATTATGTTATTTTTTATAGCAAATAACTTTTTAGCTCACCTGAGCTTGCTCAGGGTGAGCTATTAGGATCGGTGAATGTCCGTCGACCGTCGTACGTCCACAATTGCTTGTGAACACTCTAGCGGTCACATTTTTGAACCAATCATCATCAAACTTTGTCAGGATGCTTTTTTTAGTCAATTGCTTGGATGAGTTCGAACATGGGTCATCTCCGATGAAAATCTAGGTCACAGGAGCTATAAATAGAAAAACCTTGTGAACACTCTAGCGGTCACATTTTTGAACCAATCATCATCAATCTTGGTCAGAATGCTTGTCTAGTCAATTGCTTGGATGAGTTCGAACATGGGTCATCTCTGATGAAAAACTAGGTCACAGGAGCTAAAAATAGAAAAACCTTGTGAACACTCTAGTGGTCACATTTTTGACCCAATCATCATCAAACTTGGTCAGGATGCTTCTCTAGTTGATAGCTCGGATGAGTTCGAACATGGGTCATCTCGGATGAAAAAGTAGGTCACCGGAGCTAAAAATAGAAAAACCTTGTTAACACTCTAGCGGTCACATTTTTGCATCAATCATCATCAAACTTGGTCAAGATGCTTGTCTAGGTGATAGCTCGGATGAGTTCGAACATGGGTCATCTCGGATGAAAAAAAGGTCACCGGAGCAAAAAATAGAAAAACCTTGTTAACACTCTAGCGGTCACATTTTTGCATCAATCTCCATCAAACTTGATCAAGATGCTTGTCTTGGTGATAGCTCGGATGAGTTCGAACATGGGTCATCTCGGATGAAAAACTAGGTCATAGGAGCTAAAAATAGAAAAACCTTGTTAACACTCTAGTGGTCACAATTTTGACTCAATTGTCATCAAACTTGGTCAGGAAACTTGTCTAGGTCATTGCTGGGAATAAATTGAACATGGGTCATCTCGGGTGAAAAAGTAGGTCACCAGAGCTAAAAATAGAAAAATCTTGTTAACACTCTAGTGGCTTCTGTTGTGATCCAAATATTCTGTTAATTGGTCTGAAAGTTTGTTTTGATGATTTCTAAGTCAAGTTCGAACATGGGTCATCTTGGATGAAAAACTAGGTCACACCGCCCAAATATGGAAAAACCTTGTTAACATTCTAGTGGTCACATTTTCGACTCAATTATCATCAAACTTGGTCAGGATGCTTGTCTAGGTAATTGCTTGGGTGAGTTCGAAATTGCATGTGGAACTAGGTCACCGGAGCTAAAAATAGAATAATCTTGTTAACACTCTAGTTGCTACTGTTTTGATCCAAGTATCCTGGAAATTGGTCTGAAAGTTTGTTTTGATGATTTCTAGGTCAAGTTTGAATATGTGTCACCTGGGTAAAAAACTAGGTCGCACTGCTCAAATATGGATAATCCTTGTTAACACTGTAGTGGTCACATTTTTGACTCACCTGTCATGAGACTTGGTCAGAATGCTTGTCTAGGTAATTGTTTGGATGAGTTTGATAAGTCAGGTGAGCGATCTAGGGCCATCATGGCCCTCTTGTTTTTCTTTCAGCAGTTACATTGTGTGTTTTATATGTATTGTTTTATTTTAACATGTTGTAATTCATCAAATGATGTCATAGTGAAATAAAAAATTCTATCCGATTTTTAATTAATGATATAATTGACAGTTTGTTGTTTAACCCACCACAAAACGGATACGTATCTTTAGCCGCATTAATGAGTTATCTATTTTGAATAATTGTAATTTATGACAATTACGACTATGTTAATAAAATAATGTTAATAAATAGTGGTGTTTTTGAGTGCATTTGAAAATTTAATTTCATCTTTTTACTTTTATACTTTACATTAATTAAAAAGAGAGTGCTATACATATAAATCTTTAAAATAAACAAATAAAAGATAAGAGAAACATTAGAGATCTTACTACGAGGGTTATCCAAATATTTCTATTTCCTTATGAGCATTCGTTAATCTATGCAAAAGAATCCCACTGACCCTGAATAACATGGCAAATGAAAATAAAACTGTATTTTTTAATAACGTCCAAATTGATTTGTAAAATGATAATGTTACTTCAGTTTCAAATACATGCTTATCACAAAGTGCATGGGCAGAAAAACCTGAAAATCAAAGAAAGCTATATCATATTATCTTTCTAGATAAAGAAGATATTTCATGAGTTATGTGATATATTAATATGTCCATCGGATGTTACTTCAAAACACACTTTTAAAGTGGAAATTATATGTTTCAAAACTGCCGGGACCTCCTTTATTTTTGTAATGTAATGAAAATAAATAACCGGTAGCAACTTTAAGTAAAGTTCATAAATTTATCAGTGTATCGTGCAGAATTTGAGAGAGTCTTAATATGTTACAAAATGCTACAAAATAAAGTTATTATGATAAATCATTTCTTGTCAAAGGAAAAGGTTTTGATAAATGAGAAATTATTTGATAGAAAATTCAAAATTAGCTCTCTTTCAAAACATATTTGCTACTGTATTGTTTTATTTGTTTATTTTTTGTATATGTAAGGCCTGAAGAAAAAGCAATAACAATTAAATGATGTCATAGAACGATAAAAATTATGATCCGTTCTTAAGTAAATAATTTGTTGTTTTAAACCACAACGCGGATATTTAAAACTTATATAATGAGTTGTATACCTGTTTAAAAACAGTTGATTTATAACAGTTAAACCTACAATAATAAGATATCGTTAATGAATATTGGATATACTGAGCGCATATCGAAATTAAAATTCGTCTATTCACCTTTATTCTTAACGATTATTGAAATGAGACTGTGTTATTGTCTAGGTATTATTTTGATAAACTTTGGCTACTTATCAGGTAGGTTCTTTCACTTTAATGTTTGTTTATTTAAATATTGAAACGCATATTTTTTGTGCCCCATGTGCCTATGTCTGGGCTTAACAAGGTGGATAGTTTTCCTGAGATGAACTGTACCCTTGTGTAAGCTACTTTATTGTACTAAGATCAACCTTATGTTTTTCAAAAAAAAAAACAGTTTTACAAAAGATATATGAAAGAATAAAATGGAAAAAAAGAGGTTTTAACATAACTAAATAGCTGAATTGGTTTCCCTACGTCACAAATCGCGCTACTAAATTTCATCCGGTTTTGGTTTATTTTATTTTATTTTTTTTTTTTGTTTTTTGTTTTTTTTTATTTATATTTTAAGACATTTTAAAACTTCTGAAATATAGCAGCGCTGTTAACACAAGACTTTAGTCAAATGAGCCGCGTCACGACAAAACCAACATAATGGGTTTGCATGCGCGCAGTCTCATCAGGATCCATGCTGTTCG